TCGTATCTGCGGTCCATCCCACGGCGTCGTGACTTTTTGAAGGTGGCGAGAGAGCCTCCCACTCAATACTGAGTAGTCTGCCCCGGTGTCAACGAGTGCCGATGCGTTTTGGCCATCGATAACAACGTTTAGGTTGTTGGACACCGTTGCAGGGGCGTCGGTGCAATGCGGGGCGTCGAGAGAGTGGGAGCGCTCCGGCGTTCTTGGAGGCTGTTTGCTTCCGTCGTTTTCGGCAACGTCACCTCCAGGCGTTGCCGCACTCAGTTTTCCCGACGACGCAGGGGAGACAGGCTCTCTCGGCGGGATCGTGGCGCTGGGGAGGCTGAACGTCGTGGCGATGGGGAGCGGGCTTCACGGCGGAGTGACGACACTGGGGAGGGGGAACGTCGGAGGTACTCTTCGATGTCGTGAGGGCGTTCGCCGTACCTCGGGCGTGGGTCGTTCGGGTGGAACCCACGCAGGCCCATTTGCCGGTAGGGACAACGACGGTAGATATGGTCGGCCTCCCCGCAGTGGTAGCACAACGGGCGTCGATCGGCCGTCCTCCACACGTCGGTCTTTCGTGGAGCAGCTTGTTCTGGGCGGACGTACGCCCGATCTTCATGGCGTCGTGAATACTGCGGCGCTAGAGGTTCACGTCGAGGTGGCGCCGTATACCGGTGAGCAGGGGGCGGTGGTCGTCGGGTAGCTGCGGCGTAGCTCAGCTTCGGTGGTTCAGGAGCGGCGCTGGCGAGAACTTCTGGCTGCAGCGCCTGCTGAAGTTCTTCCCGGACAATCTCGGCGACTGAGGGCGTATCCAGGCTTGTGGCAGCAGGTAGCAACTTCTTCAACTCCTCCCGGACGGCTTCACGGATAAGGTCACGGATGTCGGGGAGGGTGGTGCCCAGGTCGGATCCAGATGTCGCTAGAGTAGTTACGCCAGGGTGTCGTTGGTAGTGTCTGGCGCGGGCTAGCAAGGCCCGTTCCATATTTGTCGCCTCCGTGATGAACTCGTCCACTGTTGTTGGGGGATTCCGGATGAGACCGCCGAAAATCTCGCTTTTCACACCCCTCATCAGGTGGTGCAGCTTCTTCTCCTCGGTAGCCTGAGGATCGGCGCGGGCGCTTAGGCGGAGAACATCCTCCACGAAGCCGGTGATGCTCTCGTTGGGGCCTTGAGTCCTGGTACGCAGTAAGTCTTCGGCTCTCTCTCGGCGGTGCTGGTTGACAAATGTCGCCTTCAGCTGGCTCTTGAAAATGTCCCAGGATGTCAATGAAGACTCGTGATTTTCGTACCAGCTTCTGGCAGTCCCCTCGAGCGAGAAATACACGTTTTGCAGCCGTTGCTCGTTGGTCCAGCTATTGTGGTGGGCGACGCGTTCGAATTGGTCGATCCAATCTTCAACGTCTTCGTGGAGTTCGCCGTGGAACGGAGCCGGTGTCCGAGGAGCGACGGGTAGGTAGACGACGGCAGGAGCGGCGGGGGCCTGCGACTGGTTGTCCATCGTCGTCTTCTTCGGCTTGGGTTTATCCAGGAGCAAACCGTACTCCGGATCCTCTCCCTTGGTGCGGCGGCTGGTCCGAGTTTCAGGTTCTGCGCTGAGTGGTCTTCTCAGCGAGCTTGGAGTCGGGCTTGCACTGCGGGTCCTGGGAGGGGAACGCTGCACGGGCATGCGGTACCCCGCACCTCCACCAGAATGTCACGGGTGGTGAGTCGTGACCAATAAACAAGAAATAAACAAAAATAAATAAACGTTTAATGTGGCGAACTTTTGCCAAAAATAAAGAAGGAAACAGAAGAAGGCAGAGCGTCGCGGGCGTCGAAGTCGGCGTGTCAGCAGAATCGAGCGCTGGGGCGAGACTGACTCGACAAGGTCGCGGGCGGCCTCTTATCTAGAGTGAGTCAGTATCTCGAAGATTCGGCGGAGAAGGTTCGAGCGTAGCGCGCTCGGGGCGAGAATGAACAAGCACTTTCTAGAACAACAAAAACAGGGATGAACGATAGTTATGTCCGCAGCAAGAGTAAACGAGAACTTTCTACAAGTCCGTGACCCTGCGCGCGGCAATATTGAGGCATAGATCAATCAAAACAACAAGGTGACGTCAAACTCAAGGTCTTGTAATCTTTGGGTTGTGCTATTTATAGGGATGACGAATAACATTTGCCTTACGGGAGAAAGGTACAACCTTAGTTTTGGTGGGGATTAAAAGGAGCGAGTTTTTACAACGTTTTGTAAAAATGTAGTCAGCAGGCGTGCGGATACTACGATAAATTTTCACGTCGTCAGCGAACTGTAGCATCTCTGATTTACAAACACAAGTTGCAAGTTCATTTATAAAAAAAGAACAAAAAATGAAAGCCAGTTACAACTCCCTGTAACGCCGAATTAGAGCGCAGCTCTTGAGGAGGAGGAGGAGGGAAGGGTACTGGGGGGGTGGTCAAGTGACCTCGGGGGGCGGGGGGTCACGTAACCTTGGGGTGTCACGTGACGTCGGGGGAGGGTCACGTGACGATGACAATGACGTCATCAGTGACGTCACTGATGACGTCATCAGTGATGATGATTACGATGCGGATGCCGGTGACGTCATCAGTGACGTCACTGATGACGTCATCAGTGATGATGATGACGATGCGGATGCCGGTGACGTCATCATGACGTCACTGATGACGTCATCAGTGATGATGCCGATGACGATCCGGATGCCGGTGACGTCATCAGTGACGTCACTGATGACGTCATCAGTGGCGATGACGTCAACGGGGTTCACGTGACCCTGGGGTATCCCCAGGTCACGTGACCCCGGGGAGGTCACCTGACCTGGGTAACCATCGTGACCCTCGTGAGGGTAACCCTAGTAATCCTTGTGAGGGCAATTCTCGTAACCATCGTGAGGGTAACTCTCGTGACCCTCGTGAGGGTAACTCTCGTGACCCTCGTGACGGTAACTCTCATAACCCTCGTGAGGGTAACCCTCGTGACCCTCATGAAGGTAACCCTTTTGAGGGCAACTAGCCCTCGTAGCCCTCGTGATCCTCGTGAGGGTAACCCTCGTAACCCTCACGAGGGTTACGAGGGTTACTCGCGGCTGCGCCGACGGTGACGTCCCAAGGTCACGTGACCTTGGGGTGACTTGGGGGTCACTTGACCTTGGGGTGACCTTGAAAGGGGTCACGTGACCTTGGGGTGACCTTGGTTACGCCGACGCCGCTCAAGCCGGAAACGGGCGCCTAAGAGCTGCGCTCTGAAAAGTGAAAACCGTTTACAACTCCTTGTAATGCCGAATTGGAGCGCAGCTCTTGAGGAGGAGGGGGTAAGGGTACTGAGGGGAGTGCAGAACCCTCCTCCTCCTTCTCCTTCTCCTCCTCCTCCCCTCATTCTTTAATATGCTCCGGGGGGGGGCACCCGACCTCGGGGGGAGGGGGTCACGTGACCTCGAGGGGGGTGTCGCGTGACTTCGGGGGGGGGGGGGGGGGGGAGGGGGGTCACGTGACCTCGGGGAGGGGGCCACGTGACCTCCGGGGGTCATGTGGGGGTCACCTTGGTGGTCACGTGACCTTGGGGTGACCTTGGGAGGGGTCACGTGACCTTGGTGTGACCTGGGAGGGGTCACGTGGCCTGGGGGGTCACGTGACCTTGGAGCGACCTTGGGGGGTCACGTGACCTTGGGGTGACCTTGGTTACGCCGACGGCGACGCCGCTCAAGCCGGAAACGGGCGCCTAAGAGCTGCGCTCTAAAAAAAACAAAGGTCGAAGTTTTGAGCCTTTAGGCTCTCCGCAATTTATCTCATAATGGTATGACTTGCATCCTAAGTAGGACATCATATTTGAGCGATCACTAAGGTACCTGCCAAGTCGCAAATACCCAAAGGAAGACCGATATTAAACAGGTTCTTCAACAACAAATTGCGATCCACGAGGTCAAACGCCGTATAACAGTCAAAATAAATATCACCAAACTTGCCACGGGACGCGGCTAAAGGCTTTGCAAACTTCGAATAAGAACAGGGTTAGTCTGAACAGAGCCTCTATGACAAACAACTTTTTGAATTGTACTGAGCATTGATCTAAAACTAAAACTCAGAAGCATAAAAATACTTAAAAACCTTGGAAAAAGCAGAAAGCAGTGCGATTTTTTGGTAATTATCGACACACGAAGAGCTTCTAGATTTGTGCACTGGCACAACCACAGCATTTTTCCACTCCAATGGAAGTATTCTTCACTTTAAGGGCATGTTAAGACATTTACTGCAGCACAGAAGACAATATAACAGAACACCCTTTTACAATGAAGGCAGGGATCCCATCTTCCCCAGATGACTTTTTCGAGGTAAGTTCCCTAATCGAAGAAACCACATTATCAATTATCAATACAGGCATTGGAATACAAAGGAGATTATCAGGACAAGTGGTTGTGTTGTTAAACTGTTAAACAGGGGAAAATTAAGGTGTACTACAGGTTAGAAGTGTTTAGCAAATACACTGCAGACACTAAGGGTCAGAGATGTGACCGGTCACAGTCTTCAGAGTTATAGTCTCAATTCCACTGGATTGCCTACTGTACCTAACATTCCCCAAGTCGGTCAGTACAACGCCTAAGGTCAGACTTAATGAAGTCGCGCAATAGGCGCTTGTCTCTGTTAATCAATCGCTTCACCATATTGCGGTGCTCCTTGATAAAGAGTGCCTTAAACAGTGCCTTGCGACATAGCGTTCTAAAAAGAGTGAATGCTAACAAATAAAAACACTACAAAATATGCTTATTCTCAAGCTTACATTTTAGGTAAAATACGTCATCCTTGTTGCAGCGTCTCCCTCGTAACTGCAATTGATCGCTATCAGACACTAATAATCCGTCATCGTTTGATTTTTACTCGAACTTCTGTTTCAAGCTATACTTTTCAGCAGAGGGCAACAATGTCCTAATATATAAAATAAAAATACACTACTCCAAATATATAATTTCGATTTATTGACTTATCACAACAGCAAAGATTTTAGAGCTGCAGTGTATTATTTCTACGGGTTTGGTTGTCTTCCAGGCGGCCAACAGTCGCCCAACTTTGTAAATGTCTTCGCTGGTTCCTTGCAATACATAGTGTAAACAAAAAAGCAATAACTATTTAAGGAACCACTAGTATAGTGACCAGATGTAAACAATTCGCAGACTGGAAAAGAAAACAAGAATACGAGACAATATTACTTTTAATTCAAGATTCCAGGGAGGTAAATAAAATTAGAAACAATTTTTAATGTTTTTATCACAATCACAATAAAAAAAGTATATGTCGTAAAATATAGCCTTGCAATTGTTCTCAATTTGGATGATACCATGGCGATATATTTACACCGGCCAATAATGCCAAATTACGGCTTCCAATTGACATTCAACCTTGTATTCAAGCACACCTAGAGATAGCTCTAGTAATTCGCAAAAAGCCAATATGACATTTCGTAGATGTTCTGCGGAGTAGACGTGTTTTTTTGTTGGCTCCACCTTCATGCTGCTCGGGTGCTTGTAGAGCCAGTACTTGGTGTGATGCCGTGTGATTATATATCTAGTATTAAGCATGACCTGAATAGTACACTGTTAGTAATTGAAGTTAGCATAGCAATGCTTTTTCGCAGTAAACGGGTCATGTGCGAATCATTCGCCTGAGTTAATAGGCGAAGTTTCACGGGCCGGTTTTAGACAGGGCCGGCTTCGTTCTATTAGACCCCAGTTAATGTTTTCACATTAAAAAGCCTGGTGTTTGCGTGTTTTCTTAACAAACAACTCCACTTTTGTGAACGTGTACTGCGGAACTCACAACCAAATACTGTTTTTTAATACAAAAAAAAGAAGATTCTAGGTCGGAAAGAAAGGTTAAAATGTTCTCTAAAAAGGCGGAAGCAGCTGGCCGTAGCTCTTCACCGTGATATTCGGTAGGCGGTCAGCAGCAAGTGAACATTAATTTTGATTTTATTTTTATTCCTTTTCGCTTCCAGGATATCCAACAGTTACAGTTCCACTGGTGAATTACACGTATAGTGAAAACGAATATTGTGTAAAATATTCTCAAGCGTAGTTTGCAAAAACATTGTAAAAAAACAATATTCAAAGCGAGTCTTTTTTTTTCTTTTTTTAAGGGGCAGGGCAAGTTAGTTTTACCCGCTATATAATGCTTTAAAGTTTGTCCCTAGTACGTTGTTTAACAATTCGCTAGACCCCACCTCGCGCATCGAAAACGTTATGCTTCACGCACATGTTAACACTTGATGGCGTTTCTAAATAAAATGGAGTGCGCTTGCTAATAAATTGCATTTTTTTCCAGTCCTCCTACCACACGGAAGCATGTTCTACCTCTTACAATAAGCTTTACTGTACTCTTTGGTGCGTTTTATATATCTTCTCTTGTTTTAGATATTCGTGCAAACATTATATTGATTGTGTAAATATAATAGGTGTGTACGCAACCTATCAACTGGCTGTGACAAAGCCGAATTTTGAGTAATTGTGTAAGTTTCTATCAAAGCTGTGTGTCGTGTGCGAGAACGGTGCCACTGAAGAAGAGAAGAAAATATACAACAGAAGGAAGAAGAGGAAACAGCTATAGGGCCGATTGGGCGGAGCGGTAGAAGATGACCTTCAAGAAGTCATGCGACACCGTATCGAATCCTTGAACTTCGAGAGGTTCCCATCGAGATAAATCCAGTGTTGTACGGAACGGCGTTCCTAGAACGCGCTCCTTTTAGGAGGAACAAAGGAACGCCGTCGTTCCATTTTGCATTGGTGGAACGGGAACGGGAACTCGTTACATCTCTACTGGAACGAAAAAAGGAACGTCGTTCCTTTTTTCGTCGAGTGGAGTAATTTTTATTTTATTTCTAAGAAGGAAAATTTTAAAGTATTATGAAAATATCTTTACGAAGAGCACGATCTCGTTAATTTTTTGGTTACTTTTCTTAGGGTTCATTTCGTGTGATCCTCGCTTGGTAACAGTTGGGTACAGGAGAGCTAGTGGACATTGATCTTCTTTTGTTTCAGTGCCCAAGGCTGCCGTACAAAAAGCAAAACCTTTAGTCACAGCAAAAGGCACAGAAAGAGGGCCGTTTAAAACTCAGCTACTTTCTTTGCTTTCACGAATCTTCATACACGCAGAAATGTACGGCGAAATACAGCCGTTACTGAACTTCCACAAAGAGACCTACAGTTTCAACAAACGACAGGTTACCAGACATCGAACGCACCCTTCTATCCCGGACATTGATGACTTAGATATACACAAAAATTTGCCGTTATTCCTTCTTCCCTTGTCCCCCACCTTCAAACTGAACAACGAATCCAACCTTCACGAAGAACTTCTAGTTTTCAAGACTGACATCCCAAAAGCCCTAACCCCCTCATCACTTGCTCGTCTTGCAGACAGCAACATCAGAAAGCAACTGTTGTTAATTTTAAACAAGGGACTTTGTAAGATTGAAACGTGTGAGGGTTGTAAAACGCTCGTGCAATGTGGGGTAAGAGTACATTTGGCTCGTCTGAATCGCCCACCACAAACATGAATATGGTTAAAAGCTGAGATTTTTAATGGTGAATATGTCAAGAAATGAAACTCTGCTTTCGATTGATTGCTTCTCCTGGTGCCCTTCCATCACGGTATCCAAATTCTTGTATTGCCATCTAATAAAATAGATTAAAAAACCGCTTGATTTAACAAGATATGGTAATCAGCAAGATAAATGTAACGTATATGTAACGACACGTTACATTGTAATGAGTAACGATACGTTACTCGTTACAACGGGAACGAGTTCTTTTTTTACATAAGGAACTTGTAACGGGAACGCGTTCCAAAGATCAGAAGGAACGAGGAACGAGCTTTCGACCCTTTTTTTGAGGAACGTGTACAACACTGGATAAACAGCACGAGAGAAACTAGACAAATCTCCTCTAACCAGAAAGGATATGTACGATCCAAATTCCCGAAGACCAATTTACAGAGTAAGCGATCTCGTGTACATTGAAGTCATGGCCGATAAACGAGGAATCTAAAAAAAAAAAAAAGTCTGTTTTCTAAGCCAGAAGGGTGGTACCACACTATTGAAAGGCTATCTGATTTTGCGTGTCGTGTCAAAAATGTCCGCACTGGGAAGCGGAAAGTGCTCCATGTGAACAGGATGAGAAAAATGAAGCAAGGCGATACGCGAATCCTGATGTTAGCTAACAAGCATTATAAAAAGGCCCTCAGAATGAGGGACACTCTTTCTCATTCAGAACGCCATAGTTGGCTCCACGAGTACCTGCCGAAAACCAAAGGCCAACTGTCGGGTACCGAGATAAAAAGTTGACCATACCGGGCATTTTAGAATAGCTTGAGATGACTCGAAGAATTGCGACCAGTGTGAGGCAAACAATGACCTCAATATTTTAAGTTGTACGCGTGGAGGAGCTGGGAATGGCAACCCCGGAATCTTGAAAAATGTCCTATTCTTGTGCCCTCCGCTGTCAGGGACCTGTGTGAACAGAGATCTCTTACACTGTTAAATATTTATCCGTGGGTATTTTAGGGTGTTTCTTTTAATGAAATGTGCTTATATAATCCCAGGAAGCAGACAGTATTGAGCCAACATTGGCGTCGGGTTGGAGAAATCGGGCCAATATCATTTTGATATTGCCGATATTGGCGCTGGATCGTAAAGATCAGGCCAGTATTGCTGTGATGTGGCTGATGTCGGCGGAACAGGACTTGGATTGGCCAACGCCACGCTGATATACAGTATCCAGCGCCGTTTTCCTGTAATTTGTCGGATCTGAACCGGCTATATCGGCCGGTATTAGGGATACTTGAACGTTTTTAAAACGATACTGAATCGGTCAATCGCGCCGTGCAATCGCGGCGGCCGCCGCTGGTGCCACGGGCCGCGCCGAGGGCGCGCCGGGCAATCAGCGGCTGGAACTCGGCTTTTCCGTACAAACAAACGGAAAAAACCTATGTTTGTAGTAGCTTTCATTGGAGTTTAGTAGAAAACGGGGGGCGCGTGTTGTTTTCTAAAATATTTAGTTTACAAGGTTTGCGGCACAATTAATATTGTTTTTATACAACATGTCCCAACGGTGATTTCAGGTAGCGCGTCCTGACCTAGCCGCATCCTAACTTCGGCAGTAGCTCGCGGCGCGTCCACTTAGTAGTCGGGTGTGGCACCCTTGAAGTCCTTTCCACCGTATCTGTTTCGGAGCCAAAATGGCCGATTAAAGCCAAAACAGAAGTCACGTGCAGTTCCTCGTGTGGCCAGTGCGGGAGAAATGCCGGCGTTGCGATCGCTACTAGCTCGGTTCTCGAGTACGGATCGGTGCCACTTTTAGAGAACAGGCTCTATGTCAGTTTCCCTACTGATCGGTTCTAGTAATGTTGGCTTGGCTCAAGTTCGCTGACACCGCAGCGGCCGCGGCAATGTTAACCGATATTCGCCCATCTCTGCCCAGAACTGGAGTGATATCGCCGATTCTGGCCCATTTTATAACAAGCAGCATTAACCGAGATTGGCCCAATACCGGGCCGTGGTGCAAACATGAAACTGGGCCAATATTGTGAGCAATATTCCCCCGACGCTGACCCAGTGTCGCCGTGCTGCCTGGGATGTTGACTTTCTTGTGTGATAGTTGGTTTCCTAGTGAACCTAACTGAATATTTAGCTGTTTAATAGAAACGACAGGGGATATTGTCGTTACGTGAATAGTTAAGATAATTTTACAATATTTCTAGACCAATTGTTTTTCTTTTTTTAGTTTAGTGTTTGTCGCAAAGCCGGTTTTTGTGAGACTAAGTTTCTATGAAAACTGTGCGCTGTGCGCGAAAACGGTGCCATCGAAGAAGGCAAGATATTGAAGAGTGGGAAAACGAGGAGATAATTGAGAGGCCGGTTGGGCGGAGCGGTAGAAAGCGACCTTTAGGGAGACAAGACAGACGTTGTCTCGAGCCCTGGAACTTCTAGAGGTTCCCATGGACATTGGTCACCATTCCTCCCAACGACGGGCAGAGACGGGAAAAAGGCGGCCGGTCGTGAGGGGTGCAGGCGAGAACTAATTAAGTCATCTACCTTGAACTCCCGATATCCATGGAATATGACTGTCCCTCTTGCTTTATGTAATCAGCTTTTTCTCTTCATTTATAGAAGTTTACGTTCTCATTTTTTTTTCAATGTTTTCTTTCCCTTTTTTTTATACTGGTTCCCAAAATTAAACTAGTTCATTTCACGAGGTCTCCCAATTTGAAATGACCTGTTACAGCATATAAATACGCAGTCATTCTGACGGCTAGAAACCCTGTGCAACGAATCTAACGCTATGAAAGTCTCACGTTACTACGCGCCCCACAAGTCGCTGCGCCCCTCCCAAAGGTCACGTGACACACAAACGACATCATATTGACTTCGATGGTTCGTAGTGTTCTCTGCGGTCCATCGTCAGGGGAATTGGATCACAGTCATTACGAATCACAAAATGCAGTGCCTTCGTGAGCTCCAGAATTTCACTGTATATAATATTTTCTTAGAGCGCAGCTCTTAGTTTCCGGCTCGAGCGGCGACGCCGTCACCATCGGCTTAACCGCGAGTTGCATTATGGGACGTTTCCTATGATGACGTCACAAGTGACGTCACCTGTGACGCACAAGGGCAAATTTTCCAAGTAAGTTTAGCAGAAAATTTTCTGCGATAAATTTAGCGGGGAAGAAAGAGGGGCATACCTTCCCCTCCGTAACCTCCCCTCCTCCTCCTCCTCAAAAGCTGCGCTCTAATTCGGCATTACAGGAAATTGTTAACATATATTTTTTATTGATTTGGATGTTGAGTTTTAATTTATTTATTTACAAAAGAAACCCCGCAGCGCCAAAACATTGGGATTATAGCAGGTACAGCCCATGGACGCTTAATAAAGATTAAAAAAAAAATAGTACACTTGAATATACAGCTTCGGCTGACGAGAAATAGAATACATGAACGGTAAAAATAAATAAAAACATTAAAAATCAAGACCATTTCGTGATGTGAATGGTCCCACGTCATCATTAATAAAACAAGACTTGAGTAACAGGCTCCACTGCGGAAAAACAAACGTATAGATCGTTCCCTTATCTTTTTGGAACGATCTATACGATTTGAAATATAGTTAGGTAATTGTATGTATTTCCTTTTATTAATACCTGTCAAATCGGTAAAAATTGCTACCAGGAACCTGAATCGAAAATCTTTGGGTATTAACAATAATGTTTCCCAAGCAAGTACACTTTTTATCTCTGTAACGCTATTGTTTCTACTATACTTTCCTGTTACAAATCTCCCCGCACAGCTTTGAAGTTTCTCTAACTTATCTGTAAGGTACTTTTGGTGCGGATCCCAAAAAACATACCCGTTTTCCAGTTTTGGTCTAACCAAACAGCAGTAGGTCTCCCTTAGTTTTTTTTGGAGCCCCGCGTAAATTACGAGTAAGAAAATTTAAAGTTCGGCTGGCATTTTTAACAGTTTCTGTGACATGAACATAAAAAAGTGTGCTTGACAAGGTAACCCCATAACGTTTAACATCAGTGTTATTACTTAATATATGATGTTAAATGAAATAACATGATGGGACAGGGTTAAGTCTCTCCCAAAAATGACTTGCATACTCTTATCCACATTCAAGCCTAACACCCAAATATTGCAGCACTCCGATATTCTATCCAGATCCAACTGTAAAAAAGCCCAATCACTAACACTCTCAGCCCTGCTATATACAAAACACAATAGCCTGCAAACAGCTTTATGGACGAGCTAATGGTCGATGATATATCATTAATAAACACAAGAAATAAAAGAGATCCCAGCACTGGACCCCTGCGGCACGGCGTAGGTCACATCAACAAAGTCTGAGCTTGCACTATTTACGACGACACACGGCTTTCTCCGAGAAAGGTAATTTTTTATCCAACGGTATACATTTGCATCAAGGCTAAGGGAGCTCAGTTTCTGTAGCAGCAAAGAGTGTAACACTTTATCAAAAGCCTTGCTCAAATCAAGAAAGATGCGTGCGTTTCTCTGCCCCCCCCCCCCCACCCCCTCAGTCATTGATACCAAGTCATGATAAAGTTCTACGAGCTGTGTGGCGCATGAGAGGCCTTTTTAAAAACCATGTTGGGTAGAAGACAAATAACTATTTGTATTGACATGCCTTGCAACGTTGCTATAAATAATATGCTCTAAACTTTTGCAACATATGCAGGTTAGTGAGATTGGGCGATAATTTTCTGTTTTCTAAGTTCGGAAAAAAAATAATCTTCCACTTTGTGTTTTGATCCCTGCTTATGAATTGGTGTAGCGCACGTCACTTTCCACTGACCTGGGAGCACACTGTGCTCTAGGGATTTACAAAAAATAATCTCGAAGTAGCGAGACACAACAAATGAGCACAATTTTAAAACTCTGGGCGACAAACTATCAGCACCTACAGCCCTTTTAATATCAAGCTCATCTAGGCACTTCTTTATCCCTTCTACACTAATAAGAGCATTTGATTCAGAATTTTTTCATTAAGATGGAGGTAAGAATGAGTACTGACGTTAGGGCGTGTCTTCGCTTATCAGCTTACAATGCAAAACAATGTCGAGGCGAATTTACATTAAAAAGTTGTACTTTTTAAATGAACTGTAATTATTCCTATGATTACACGAGGAATCAAATTATAAAGTAAGTACAAAGCTTCACGGAAAAAGATTATATGTGAAAAAAAAGAATAATTTATGTTACTGGCATCTGTGCAGAATTAATCCACCAATAATGAAACTTTCTTTTTATAATTTACCCTTCGTTCAAGACAATATATATGATGTAATTTATTAAATTTTAAAGTTGTGAACTATGCATTTTTGTTTGAGGGTGAGTGATACTAAAATATGTTCGACATGTATGCTTACGGTTATTATATCCTGGAGTTCTGAGTATGGTGCACCGTTTCCTGTCTGTGTAGATCACTTTCGTCTCATTAAACACTGTATAAAAATTAAAAAAAAATAGTTGTAAATACACGAAAAAATGTACTACGTTCGTCTAACTTGCAATTTCTTTTACTTACTCCCATTCCGATAAATCTCGGCTCTTGCTTTATACCTACAATTGTGACCGTCGACGTGATGAGGATGGAACGCTTGAACAATCCCTCTGAAAATAAAAGTGCTTTTTTACTTTGCGATATTCCGAACACCGACTTGTTGGACAGAACAGATGTGCCCAAGAGTAAGACCAGTATTCTAAGGTAGTCACTAATGTTGTGAAAGTATAGGAACACGGCATACCTAAAGACATATTAGGCTTGTATAAGTAGTACAACTAAAATGAAACTAAACATGTTATTTTCTTTCCAGTTCACTTGATCATGTAGAAAAGATGATCACAACAAGCATTAGATTGCTAAATATCATGGTAGAAGGTTTATGGCATTAATGAAAGATAAAGATAAGTAATCGTAAATGATGCTTGAATTTTTGGGCGCAATCACAAAAGGAAATATGTCGTAGAATATTTATGGGGCTGCCTTCGTATACTTGGACGATCGTCCAAAAGGAACTTAATGTCGTTCTCCGCTAATCATTCAATTATTTATCCCGACTATAATCGTATTTCTATTTGAATAATACCAAGAAAGTCTCCCAGAAAAGTGATAGACGACAAGAATGTAAAATGTAAGCTTTAGCAGTTCCATGTAGTCGCAGAGTGGCCATCAAGCGTCTTTGAAAACCGGTGCAACGTGTTTTGTACATTATGTGAATACAATCTAGAATTCATTCTTCGTTTTGTTGCTTACGAAACACTTTCTGTTTTTCTCTGAGCAAAGGCTCCTAGAAAATATGTAAGAAGAACGGGCTGCAAGAACCGCTGCCACATGCGAATGCGCGCTAAGGTTGCAAACAGAGGGCACGTGCTGAGGTCAAGACATTGTTAGAGTATGGTACGTGACAATCAGCTGACATCATCGCGCCATGCCGTAGATGTCTGTTTGTTCTTGTCATGAGAAACACTTTTCGTGATGCAATTTGTACACGCTACAAAAGGTAGGCGCTCAGCAGCGAGGCCACTGCAATGGCAGCCGAGGTGACATCAGTGCAAGCTACATATATTTCCGTCATTGTAGGAACGTCGGGCAATCTACACTGCCATAAATCGCCCGAAATTGTGTTATGTTTTTTTAAACCAGGTAGATTTTTTGTTGATACTTCCACTATAAACCTCCACCACCCAGCCACACTTTCGTGGTAAATTTCAGCGCGATATTTCAAAATTAGATTTTTGTTGACCGTTTAAAATCGGTTAGAAACATTTTGGTGTACGCTGTAAAGCTTTCGTTACAATTTTCATTCATTCATTCATTCATTCATTTATTCTTTCTTCCTTCCTTTCTTTCTTTCTTTCTTTATTTGGATTTTCACCGGCAATGCAGGGTTGGGAGGCAGGGGCAAAAGGCATTTCTGCCTGTCGAAGCCCCCACCCGCTGTACAGTTCAGAGCAGCACGCAGAGTACATTTGCCACGACCGCAAAAAATACGCAACACATTTCATGACTAAAACGCCGAGGAACATAAAAATAGCAATACAGATAAAATAAAATTGAAAGCAGAAACAAGAGCAGCACTTGTTAGCCCTCAGTGGCTTCTAAAAAGTTACAGTTTAAACAGCAAGAGACATAAAAATATGGACGGTTAAGGCTGAATATATTTTACGCAAAACAAAATTGCCACGCGAATCAAACAATAAACATCGATGAGCTCGATGTGGATCGGATCTCTCTTGGACTCGGGAGATTCGGTACGAAGAACCTATAGGAAAACCGCGCAATTACCGCTTGGTCAGACGTGCTAACTGGTCGGATGCCGTGTAACTCGATGCCTAGCGCTCTAATCAGTTTCATCCCATCAAGCTTCTTCCGTGTTGTGCCACGACCATGATTGCAACACATTCTTGCGTCCTTTGAACATGACACTTACCACTGCTTTGCTAACTGTAAGCAATGATTCTTTTAACCAGGTTAACAACTTGTTGGATGTGCTCTCGATGGGAATCTGTCCCTTGTATATCTGGCGAAACATTTATTCGCTCATATTAGACCAAGATGCTCCAGAGTCAACTTTAATGATTGCTTCTTGCGACTCTATTTTTGCTGGCATTAGAAATTTTTTTCGGTTGCATGCACCCCGTAGGTCGAACATAGTTCGTCCACTTCGTAGACGCTAGCTCCTTTTTTCATGTCCTTTCCTTTCTTGACAGTTGCGGTCTTACTTTGGCATACCTTTGCTTAATGTCTTTTTTCAGACACTTGTAACAGGCAGAGTCTATGAATTTGCTCAAAAAAAGGTTTGTGCTTATCTGCGCAACGGTGGCAGTTTCCGCAAACGACGACGCTTTCACCAATGTCGCTTGAATTTCATCGTCAGAGTCGACTTTACCGGTCTGTTGCCGTTGCTTCCTGATGTCTCTGTTCGACTGCGTCGTTGTTTCTGCGGTGACGGCCGAGTCGTAGGCGACGTCGAATTACCAGTTGCGTTCAGCCAAAAGACGTTGCTGCACCCTCTTGAACGCGATGCCGCAGGCGAACCTGTCTCGCATCATGATGTCAAGTGTCATTTGCCTGTCTCCGAAACCGCAGTCTTCTGCCAGTTTTCGAAGCGTGGTCACGTAATCTGCAACTGCTTCATCGTCATGTTGGTCGCTCTTGTAGAACAGGAACGTTGCATAGAGCTCCGATGGTCTTGGGTGCAGACGAACCTTGACCAATATCAATATCGTGGCAAAGTCCGCAGCGGTTGCTCTTGTCGGCTTCACCAAGGTGAAGATTAACGAGTACGTTTCTTCTACGCAGGAACTCAGCAGAACGGCGCGCTTCTGCTCAAGCGTTGTCCGTCTGTTGGCTACGCAGTACATTTTGAGCCGTTTTATGCACTCGTCCTAGGATGCGTTGGCGCTGAGGCGACACTCGCTGATATGCCCACCGCCATCCTCAGTGTCTGTTTCACGGGCGCTTCCCCGGTGTCTTCGTCCGCCTAGTCGCCACTTGTTGTATCTTAGGCAAGTAGACTCATAACGGCAACGTTATACTTTACTGGAGTCTGGCGTTGTACAACGACGACTGGTTGCCGATGATAGAAGGCATGGGGAACGAATCTAGCTAGTGCACTACACAGTTCACGCGACGGCACGCACAGACGACTCGTGGCGCCCCGTCGGTCAGGCATGCAATAATTTGAGCGAAGTGGCAAACGTATAATCATATTACATTTTTTAAATATATAAGGGAAGGGCACCATTTTACGGCGTTTCAAAGAACGCTCAATTTGGACGTGTTACTGGGTTTTAAATTCTCCACAGCACTCGTCTGTCATACTTCCCTCCATCCTACGGGGGAGGCCAGGTGGTGGTTTCCCGCCTTGGCCACCGGGAAGCCTAACCGCGGGCGCTCCGATGCGCTCCGATAAAAAACCATAACGTAGAAACGCGTCCAAATCAAACGTTTTTTCGGAACGCCGTAAATTTCTCCCTCTGCTTTGTATATTTCAGAAATCGTCGTCGTCCTGCGGCGTTCACATTATAAAAACTAAAATATTACGTAACACTAACCTGCCTTCTGCTGTATTTTGACGAAGATATTTTAGCGCTCTTTGGTGTCGAGGGTGGTGCCTGAGGATTGGAAAATCGGCAAGGTCATTCCTGTCCACAACAGTGGCAGTATGTCCTCTCCCCATAACTAATCTATCAATTGCATTTCATCTAAGATCATGGAGCAAATAGTTTTCACGCATCTGTTGGATTTTCTCGAAAGCAACTCCTTTTTTAACAACGCGCAGCATGGTTTTCGCCGCAACTTTTCTTGTGAAACTCAGCTACTATTTCTTACTAATGACATTCACCTAAACCTTGACTCCAGCTACCACCCTAGTGCGGTATTTCTAGATTTCACCAAAGTATTTGACAAAGTGTACCGAACCTCTTTTTTCTGAAAATTTATATACTGAAGATTAAACCTAATATACTAAAATGGATCGAATCACTCCTTCTTCAACGTCGTCTGTTTGTTTGTGCTAACCACACCAAATCTTCCCTTTGTTCTTTCTCTTCTGGTGTCCCTCAGAACACAGTACTAGGCCCATTCGTCTTCTTAGTGTATATTATGACCTTCCACTCAACATCTCTTCCACTGTGCGACGTTCTCCCGATGACTGTGTAGTTTTCTGTAAGATAAGCTCTACTCATGATATTGTAGCGCATCAGGACGACCTTTTTAAAATTTCTGAATAGTGTAACACATGGCGCATGTCTTTAAATCATAGCAAATGTCAATGCATGTGCTTTTCTTGTTCATTGCCAACTAACTATCTTCTACCTCTTTTGAACTCTGTCCCCATTGAGAATGCTAAACAATACAAATACTAAAGCTTGCATCTCATGTCTAATCTATCATGGCATACATGTATTAAAACAATTATCTACTCTGTGAACCGCTCTCTAGGCCACATTCGCCAAAATTTTAGATCCTCACCTGAAAATCTAAAACGCATTTGTGCACCACTATCTTCCGGCCTAAATCATGATATGCGTTTTCCATCTGGCATTCTCATGAGAATAATCTAACAGACTCCATTCAATCCGTTAAGAGCCGTGCTGCCCGCTTTATGTTGATTGGCTACTCTTGCACCTCAGATGTATCATCAATAAGTCTTGTCTTAACCTTTCTCTACTCTCCTCCCGCCGTCAAATTTCTTGTCGTTTCCTTCTTCACAAGGTCTTTTTAACACTTTTTTTTAAATGTTTCTTCTAAACTCGCCCACGTACATATCATCAAGACTAGATCATTCATGCAAGATTGACCGTCCCAAGTCATCAAGACAACCACACAAACAAATTCCCTCATCCCTGAAGCAGTTGGGGACTGAAAGAACCTCCCGGACGCCGTAGTTGCCATACCCAACTCCAAGCGATTCCAAATAGCCCTTCAAAACCACTTCTATTAACCCACTCCCCTAGAGTTATCACGCCGTCGAGGCATTGAGGGTATGTATAAATAAATAAATAAATAAATAAATAAATAAATTTGAGTTAGTAATTTTCAACTGTGCCTAGCAATTTTTTTAATTGAAACATATATTTATTTTTTCTAATTAAAAAAATTAAGTGATAAGTTAGCTAATTATTTAGCGAATTAGTATGCTTTTTGCAATACTTGACGTCCGTTGTGGCTGGCAGTTTATTCCCGGAAAGAGTTTATTTTTTTCTCAACCACACAATTTTAGAGACTTTTGAAAGCCCTTGCGGGAGCACAGTGTATATGTTTTATAAAAATAGTCGCTTATTTTTGTTCTTAATTTTGACTGAAAAAATGATGCCGCGGCGAATAAAACATTATAAATACTTTTAGGTGCAGGTTACTTACTGAACCAGAGTTAGTTTTTAAGGGTAAACAACACCAAATATTACTCACAGGTACCGAGTAACGAATATGCAATTAGGTATATGATGGAGTAAGATAGTTACAAAATTTACTTTACTCGTTAGTAATTTAATAACTCAACGAGTATGTTACTGCGTGAATGTAGAAAGTACCACGCTACCAGTAACAGGACGCGTTACTTTCAAAACTAACAATGTTACAATGGTCTCCCGTTGTGCTGCTTTGACGACATGAGGCAGAAAATCTTCCCGGCCTTCCTCCGTATTGTGCGTAGTAATGCAGGTGCCCTTAAATATTCATAATTATTCGTCCCACTCAATCACCAGCGAGCTTCGCACCATTTGTTCGTGCCATATACCAACGTTGCTGATGTTGCTCAGTCGCGGAACGGACGACGCACTATTTTTTCGACAGCGGAGGTACTTGAAGTGGGTGCGCCATACTTATTGGCTAAGTATGCATTGCTTTCTTACCCTTCCACTGATAATAAAGTTCGGAATAACAAAAATAAAGTGAATGAATAAGTGCCAAAATCGGCTTCCCCGAGGAAGCAGCAGAGTGTAACGCACCTTTCCTCTGGTAAATGACCCTTGAGTCGGGGTCGCACTGCCCATACATTATACCAAGACGAGGTGTTTGCTGTAAACCTGATCACGGAAATATTTGCGGACACGCTTGAGCCATGCTTGAAGCATAGTTACGTCATACATTTCATTTACACGTATACCACCGGCGCCGTTAAGAATTATGTAGGGGAATACATGAGTGAAAACGTTAAAAACACACACACACAGGTGTGTTTCGAACATGTTTCAAAAAGGTTGTCACATGGCCAATATGGCAGCACGTCGCATGAGAAAGAAACGCACCTCAGAGATGTCTGCAGAATGTCTTTACTATAATTTATTAGCAGTGTCGTTTTGTATGGTGTATTAGCTCTGTGACCGCGTTTTTAATTTAAACGACTATGGCAGATCGGCTCACGATGACCCACTACTCGCGTCTAAATTTTTTAGATGGGACTTTCAACACTCTTTTGCGTTTAGTTTCGGAATCTCAACCTCTAACACGGCTTAAATTTTGTAAAGAAAAGTGGGAAGGAAAATTTCTCTCTTTGAATTCGGACGACAGACAACAGGTCACTAATTTCAATTTGACATCTTGATGCTGGAATCCGTCGAACGAAGAATCCGACTAATTTCATCCGGTGACATTTGCTCTGCGCGTGACGTCAAAACAGGCTGCTGCACCGTGCGCAAAGCCAACAAGGCAAACGGCGAAGTTTGTCGGTTGTTCGCCGAATATTCGCTCCATGGAGCCCAATCTAAAGGTAATTATTTAAAAATTGAATTAGTAAATTTAGGTTCTTAGTTGTTTTTAATGAACATTCTACACATGTATCTTGACGTTCGCCGCGATTGATAATGTTATCCCCAAAAATATTTTCTTGACATTTGACATTAAGTGTTTTATTTCTATTTTTGTTTCTACTCTGTTAAGTTTTAATGTTTTTACAGGGTGTCTCGTTTTGCCCTCCTGTTGTCTCGTTTTGACACGGGAATCTCTAGAAAATGAGAGATCTGTGACTTTTTTTAATTATCGGTGGATACCTTGCAGTTCTACTTACTCGATTCAATACTGTTTTTTTATCACAACGCCAAGACTCCATAACAGATTTCTCTATGGTGTTTCTCCCAAATCGCAATAAAAAAAAAGTTGTTTTGAAAATTGTTTAATTTTGCCACAACTTACCCGACATATTTTCTTGGCGTTTTACTCAGAGTAATTTTGCATGTTTTAAAACTAATTTGATCTGGTTCCGCAGTAAATATCTGGCGCATATCCAAGTCCAGCACTGCTTCATTTTATTCGTGACATGAATGAACTCATTAAAAATCAATGCAATAAGTAATGTTTTTTTATTAAGCCTTGCCGTTGGCTCTAATGTCGCCAAAAATCTAGGTTTCACAATATAACAAATCCTATTTTCAGTACCTATTGCTCACTGTGTGTGAACACTGTCTCTGCTTCGCTGAAGAACACAGCTGCTGCGTATTAAAACAATACAAATGACCGTTAGTATTTCATTTTAAACCCAACCTACTTAAACGGCACTCAAATGACGAAACGTATATTTTCAGCTAGCTTCCAGTCGTTTCCATCAATGACAAAATAACGAAAAACTGTTGTCGAGAAGAACATAGCCCATAAATAGGCTTCCGATAGCCAAATTTTTCTGGCGTGCTCTCCCGCTGAACAACCAAAATAATGAAACAAATAGCCAAAAAACCAATGTTAATATTAGAATGAACTTACTCTTTTTGAGTCCTACCCGTTGTTAGAATGTAAAGATTCCCATGAGGTTGTGGATCTTGATTCGGCCGGTATGTAATTTTACACAGTCGAAACGGGTCATCTGCCCATGAGGAGTACACCAATACAAGGCTGCCGAACAAGAGGCTCTGAAATACACACTTAGTAGTTATTTCACGAATTAAATCGTATAATAGAATAAGCGTTATAAGGGCGAATATTTCTAGGAGGGGAGAATACTTCTAGGAAATTCTTTGCCATGATATTTCGAACATGTGAAACGCATATGCGATTTTTTTTAAAAATTTATTTCTTATTGTTCCGATTTGAAAGGTTAACTTACCTTTGGAAAATCTTGGTATCTTTGAAGCAGTGGATCTGTTTCATCAAGTGGAGTCTGAGAATGACAAAACGGAATTATAATTAACGCGCATTCTCATACACACTATCGAAAAGTTGGACCTAGCCGGTGAGTGCGTCTGATTTACATCTACAAAACTGTGCAACTCTGCAACTCTTAAAGGGACAGTGAAATGCAAAAAATAATGTTATTTTTCTAAAGGGCCTAGATGGACGTTTTGAAAAATAAAAGTTCATCACGAAAAATATATTTTTAGAGCAATCTTTACGCCACTACACAAAATTTAGGTGCACAATGTGGAAGTCGTAGCCCGCTAAGTTCCGCTCCGGGCTTACACCGTGCATACATCTCTCATTGGCTGGCGAGACTATAGTCGGTGACAGGTCAAGAACGAAGAGGACGCTCCTCCTAACTAATTCCATTTTAGCAGAGCGAACGATGGACAGGAGATTACCTCCTTTCCAGCGTCCGCTCTCCTAAAGTAGAAAGGGGTGGGAGGAGCTTCCACTTCGTTCTTGGCCTGTCACCGACTATAGTGAGGTGTGAAAGGTTGGCTGAGAAATTTTATTTACCTTACATAATAGTATTTTAATCATAGGTGGAGGAGACGAGGAGGCGGCACACTGGCTCAATCCGGCCAAACGAGAAAATCCGAAGTGAGGCCGGAAGTAGAGGCCGAGGTCGGTGAAAACGCCCCGAAAGGGTGACCAAAACCCAGCCAAAACCGCAGTTGCCGCTGGCTGCCGCCATATCACCTGTCCCTTCCATCCACTAGCGTCTTTAGGTTTTGGTCATCATCGGGGGCGTTTCCTGCCAAACTGGAAGTCTCCACCAGCTTCGGCTCTAGTGGTATCACGTTGCCTCCAGAAGCTTCCTACCTCCATGATTTTAATCGATAATATTTTTACGTTATAGAAACAAATTATATAGATGGAGACATTATTCTTTTCAAAAGCATTCTGAGATTGCTTTATCCTTTTTGGTTTGAAGCGATAACAAACATGGCAGCCAGTGTCTGCGGAGTGCTTAACGAGGGTAGGTCGTTGAGCTCGTCTATTTTTATGAGTGCGAGTCATAGAGTTTTGCGAGCCTTGCGAGACATGCGAATCGTTTTGAAATCACAGAGGTATTTCGAGGAAGATATCCTCAACCGACGTTGTTCGCAGCAAACAGTCGCAAGTACGCGCCTTCGGAAGCGTTGTGCGAATGCTTCTTTTCATAGCGGGACTAGCCTAAGCCTAGCGTCCCACATTCACTATTTTAATAGATCTGGGTTGATTTATTCGTTCGCGTGTGTTGATGCTGAATAAATGCTGGTTTCCGTAAAGGCAACCCGACTGCTGTGTGAATTGTGCAACGTCGTGACTACGACCATAGTTCGACCATAGTTTCAATACCGTGCAGGTACCTATACAAGTAAAACTTTGCGGCCCATTTGGCCAGAGGCGACCAGGCGTTCGGCTTGCATTAAGTTTGTTTAGGTATGTTCTCGTCATTTTGCTCCTAAAGGGAAGTGTATTTGAAGTTTTGAAGCGAACCTGGCATGCCAAAGCGAATATTTTTTTAGTCACGTAATAATTGTTCGTCATGACGCTCACTCACATTACTCGCAGATGCCATGCGAACATGGCCGGCTACTTCTGCAACCAGTGAGGTCAAACACTGCGACAGATGAGGTGTGACGTCGGTGCTGCTAAGGCGTCGTTTCCAAGCAGATGGACTTAATGAACGGTAAAGGTGCAAGCGCGAACCATGGAATTAGCATGGGCGTTTCGTATTAAACTGAGTAACAAACCGGACAAAACTTCCGTCGCGTTTTGGAACCAGTGAATGTATATGAATTAATTGGACACAAATTAGCACAACCTTGCAGTAGTCGGAGAATGCTTCGAAAATCGTGCGCCCAAGTATGCAATCCAAGAAACTACGAAATTGAATGTGCAGGCAATCGGGTGAGATGAACACGAAAAAATAAGAACACAGGGAAAATGTCTGGACAAACACGCGTTTTTCCTTCCCAGCTGACCCGATTGCCAACAGTATGTATGAACTAGTTCAACTAACACTCGTCACTGAATGTGCATGCCTGAAACGTTGCGTGCAGGTGTGGCTGTCTTAACGTGTTATGAATGTTAGCGTGCACAAACTAGCACCGTCTTGCGGTGACTGAAGAACACTTCCAAAATTGCGCACTTAAGCTCCACCTTATTTCTCGCCCGTAGTTGAACCGGCTTAAAGGTGCCTTGAGGAGGCTTGGAGATGGCCGAAAAATGGCGATAACTCACTCTGCGGGCTCTAAGCATCCTAGAAATCCCTAAATCATAACGATGCGCATCCAATTTCCTTACTAAGAAACCAATATAAGATTGCAACACATAGAGGTTATCTCCGGAAATGAGAGGAGCATTGCTCCGGCGGCCAGGACATATGACCAACGAAAACTCGACATTTCGTTGAGAATGAAAACGCTGTTGTTACAAAATATATATATTTCTGTAGATGACAATACACAGTTTTAGTGGACCGTACGCTATAGCTTTGCGTACACAAGGAAAATGGGGTCGTGAGTGCGCATGCGCAGAACGCAATAGAAGGGCTAGCGTATTGCGTACGCACGCAAAGCTGGGGATTTTGCTTTGCTGGCTAGCGGGCCTTGCCGGACGCTCTCGAGAGATCTCGGACCCAACGAGACCTCCAGTTTCAAGATGGCGGTTGCCTCGACTGGCGCAGCAAGGGCAACGTGGTATTTTCGAAATTCTGTGTTACGTGAAATTGCGTGGTGTTCAGCTCGGCGATTCTTTCTGGGACCTACCGCGGTCGAATCAGATCGCCGTGCAGCTGAAGGAGTGCACAGTGAAAATGTTCGCCGCTCGGAATGTGCGTCGACGCTGCGATCTGCTCAACGCCAAGCCTATCCCCACAGTTCATCGCCGACGGACAAAGGACTCTAAAAGAAATCGCCGAAGCTCTCGCTATGCACTGGACATCAGGGTCATGAATTTCATTCCGCGATAGCATTGATAAAAGGTGCCGTTTCCACGGGACGACTGACGGAGGCTCCGTGATGGAATTTGGCTACGCACTCGTACTCGTAGCCTCTGTACCCCGCAAAAAAGTGCTCTTGACGAGGCAGCTGTGGCTTGGTTTAATCTGAAATAAAATGATTGGACACTTCTTCTTTTTCAATATTTCTTTCCAGGAGCATGGTTGCGCTATAAGCACGCGGAATTCTACGGCTCTAGCAAATTTAACCAAGATCATGCGCGGTGTTCACTCCAAAACGTAACGCACAACTAAATTCGGTCCGAGCTGGTCATTTCTAGCGTACGCTATACTATTGCGTATTGCGTACGCAAGAGCCAGCAGCGCTATACTAAAACTGTCTAATAGCAAATAAGAGTAGTCGAAACTAAGTTTTTCGCGGAGAGAGAACCTAATACTTCAATAATCGTCTCAAAAACAGCGCAATATGTTTTTATGCTCTTTTTGTTTGTTTGTCGCGGGGGTGAAATGTCCAGTCGTCAGCTTTGAAAGCGCGCTGGCTGGGTTGAAGCGTAATTCGGGCTCTACGGGCAACGAGCAGCGAATCCGAGATATCATTCCGCGGTTCCAGTGGTCGGAGGCGTGAGGTTCCTTCGTTTGCTATTGACGGGCAGTGTTTATTTTTTTTTTATTTTTCGGAACATGCTCCTCCCGTTGTCGGAAATGACCTCGGTGTGTTGCGATCTTTGACTGCTGTTTAATAGGAAAATCTGCCGCGTATCGTCATGATTTGAGGATTTCTCGGATGCTCAGAGCCAGCAGAGTGAGTTATCGCCACATTTAGGTGATCTCAGAAACCTCCTCCGGCCGCCTTTAAGACCCACCAACGTTACTGAAACACTCAGTTGGGAAACTCGCCGTCGAAACCTGGGCCGCTGGCGTCCACCGAGACCGAGCTAAATACGACAACAGCGCCACTCTTGGTCATTTGTCTGTACTGTGGTCACCTTCAGCTTTTACAAAGCATGTTTTTGCATAGAAACAATCGGAAAAGACTCCTCTTGTATGAAATTTATTGGAGTTTAGTACCAAAAGAGGGGCGCATGATGTTTTTAACATATTTAGTTTGCAGGGTTTTGCGGTACAATTAATATTGTTTTTATACAACCATGCCTCAGCGGTCCTTTCAGGTAGCGCGTCCCGGCCTAGGTGCATTTTAACTAGTAAGTCACGGCGCGTCCGCTGGGGAGACGGCGGTGGCACCCCTGTAACCTCTTCCGCTGTATCTGCTTCGGTTCGAAATGGCCGATTGAATCCAAAATAGACGTCACGTGCAGTTCCACGAGTGGCCGCTGCGGGAGAAACGGCGGCGTTCTGTTAGCCATTAGCTCGGTGCTCGAGGACAGATCGGGGACACTTTTTCAGAGCAATCTCTATGGCAGTTTCCACCGTGAGTGTTTTAGTAACGTTGACACCCACCTAGTTTTATCGCTTTTATCGCCCGAGAACCTTTCTGGCATAATTAGCAAAATGCTTTCTTTTGATGTTTCCAACATCTGCAGTCTCATGATTTTGTTTCTACGTGTCGTCATGATGTCAAGTGACGACGTACTGTCATGTAATGTCTGAACGTCACGTGACATCACAGTGCGAAGAGGCGTCATGGCATCACGTGACTCACGGTGTCACCTGACGTCATTAAGTCGCGTGGCGTCACTGTGCGACGTGACTTGACATGACAATGCCACCTCACGGTGTCATCTGACGCCACGTAACAGGGGACGTGATGCGCGGCGCGACATCAAAATCGAGTCGAGCGCCATGACATCAGCGGCGTAACGTCAATGTGCAATTTTTTTGGCTCGGTACCGAAAATGACCCACGTCGATATGAAGTGCGCTCGACGGCGCGAAATCCGGCAGGGAGCGCGTCCCACTAACTACTATCGCAGAAAAAAAAAAAAAAAAAAAGAAAAATCAAGAGTAGAAAAGTTGGAAGGACTGTATATTTCTTGTGTTGATATTTTTTAGCCCTCTCAGTGGCATTTTACTGTACATCGACAGACGCTGACAGGCGCTTGTATCGGACCGTGGCTCGTGCATGATCGAACGCTAGAACGCCGCTTTTATGGGCGGATCTCGCGAGAGTTGTGGAAGTTTTTATACAGGGGGCGGAATAGCAGATGGAGCAAGGCGAAGACGGACGCCGACGCGCAGCTGCTGCAGGCGACGATAGACGGTGGTGGAATGGCAGAGGATGCCGGATGCTTCCGCGCCTCTGGTGGCACGACCAGCAGGCGGTGCCAGACGCCAGAGTAAACGAACCGGATGTCGCGGAAGGGGGACACTAGGCTTGTGAGCGTGTTCGGCCGAGCAGCCAAGACAATCCAGTAGTACTGGGCGGACACTGATGTGTGGGCGGCGCTTAAACTGGACCGTGACCTCCACCCAAATTGCGTCTAACGACGTAAATTGTGCGCGAATAAATTTTTTCTACCATAGTTACAAAACAATACGTCTCCCATCTATCCCGCTTAAATTATTTTTCTTCATTTCAATCCTTTGTTAAACAAAACATTCAAAGTGCGGTAGACCGCCCCCCGTTATTGGAGAGCTTTAGTACTGCGTATAGTACCAAACGCAAGCACTGTTCGTTTGCGTTAGCGTCGTGTGCTCCAAACTGCGCATGTGCGTCATCGCAATGCGCCAATCTAACACGAAGTTTGGGCTTCCGCACACGCGCATCTTGGAACACGTGACGCTAGCGGAAACCTGCTAGGTTTGCGTTGGCTCGTATACGCAATTCTAAGACTATTCTACTTAGAAGGTGTCTATTGCGAGAAAGAATAACGGTGATCTTAATCATTCAGTACGCTTAAAGGGATACTACAACGAAATTTCGGCGCTCATTTTTTGGTCTATATGTGTTCAAAAAAGCAGCATCACATCGAACATACCAATATCTTGTTAAAAAAGTCACGAAAAGGAATTTTAAAATGAATTAAACGATTAGCAAAGAGCACCTGGTGGATGTCGCTAACGCCTCGCTTGTAATGCTCATCTAGGAACCTTGACAGCTAGTGACGGAGGTTGTCTCGTCTCCGGCCACGACGAGAGAAGAGGGCAGGAGGAACTCCCTTCTTTCCGAGAATGCCTTTTGTGTGTCGCAGAAGTCGCTATTGTCCTCCTACAAGATTACAGAAGATTAACCCGTCACTCAAAATTCGTACAAAAGCAGCCGATTCAGTGGCTGGAACGACTAGGCCATCCTCGACGTCAGCCTCGCCGTAGCTTTGCTCGTCTTGAGACGACCTACATCACGATTGCGTTGGATGTCACGTGGTCTCCGCTGGGCCTTCTCCGAGCGCTTGCCAGAGTGGGCCGTTTATAACGAAAAATAAAGCCACCAGGCTCAAAATACAAACGTGCGATTGTCATTTACGGATATTGTGGATCATATTCAACCTATTTTTGAACACGACAGGAATATTTCAAATTTCGTTGAAGTATCCTTTTAAAACGTCTCTTCAACAGTACTAAACTCAGCTTACAAGCTGGAATGTTCGTTATTGTGGCGGTGCTCTTCACCACATGTAATTTTAATAGCAGTCGTACAATAAAATATCTATTATTAAAGAAAATTAAAGAAAACCACTCACGTTATCGAGGGGGCTTAGTGTGGTGGCTTCTTTGGGTTCCTTTGGATTCCCGTCAGGAGCCTAAATGATATATTCCAGGAATTAAAATGTGGGCACAACCAACCATGTTGCTGTTTAATTAAGCGATTAGCAGCAGACATAATTGAAAGATCCGCAACTGGTCACGTGTCAATTTTCCCGCTAAATTTAGCAGGAAACTCTAATTTGTGTGTAGGTCAAGTTAGCTCAAGTCATGTGGTGTTATGTTTCCCGCTAAATCTAGCGGAAAAACTGAATTGGCGTTGAAATCATGTGTCGTCGAATTTCTGTATTAATCTGGCGGGGAAGCTGAATTTGTGTATAGGTCACATGACATCATGTGACGCCATTTTCGCCGCTAAATTGAGCAAGACAACTGAATTGGTTTATAGGCCCGCATCGATAAGGATCTCTGACGGCGGCCCGAAACCCGCGAAGCGTCCTACTAACTGATACCGTAGTACACAATAACAACAAAAAAAGCAGGAAAGACTATATTTATTTAGTTTATTTTTTCTTAGTCCTCTCTGTTGCTTTTACCGCACATTGACAGACGCTGACAGACGCTGACAGACGCTTGTATCGGACTGTGGCTCGTGCATGATCGAACGCTAGAACACCGCTATCATGGTGTCTCGCGAGAGTTGTAATAGTTTTTATACTGGGCGGAATAGCAGACGGACGAAGGCGAAGACGGACGCCGACGCGCAGCTTTCATGGCCTTCTCTTAAGGGAACTGCAGACGACAATACACGGGGGTGGAATAGCAGACGATGCCGGAGGCTGCCGCTCCACTCCTCGCAAGACGAGCAGGTGGTGCCAGACGCCATGCTGGACGCACCGGATGTCGCGAAAGGAAGGCACTAGGCTTGTGAGGGTGTTCGGCCGAACAGCCAAGCCAACCAATGGGCGACGCACTGATCTGTGGGCGGGGCTAAAGCGGGCCGTGTCCTCCACCTAAATTGGTTTTACATAACAATGTAGATATTGAAGGAATAAAAAAGAAAACATTCGTGAAAGAAATTACAAAAACGTACATCTCCCATCTATGCCCTTTAAATCTATCTATCTATCTATCTATCTATCTATCTATTTATCTATCTATCTATCTATCTATCTGTCTGTCTAACTATCTATCTATCTATCTATCTATCTACCTATCTACCTATCTATCTATCTATCTATCTATCTATCTATCTATCTATCTATCTATCTATCTATCTATCTATCTATCTATCTATCTCTCTGTCTATCTATCTATCTATCTCTATCCATCTATCTATCTATCTCTATCTATCTATCTATCTATCTATCTATCTATCTATCTATCTACCTATCTATCTATCTATCTATCTATCTATCTATCTATCTATCTATCTATCTATCTATCTATCTATCTATCTATCTATCTATCTATCTCTATATCTCTCTATCTATCTCTATATCTCTCTCTATATCTCTCTATCTATCTCTACATCTCTCTCTATATCTCTCTATCTCTATCTCTCTCTGTATATCTCACTCTATCTCTCTATCTCTCTCTATATCTCTCTCTATCTCTCTCTATCTCTTTCTATCTCTCTCTCTCTATCTCTCTATATATCCCTCTCTATATATATATATCTCTCTCTCTATCTCTGTCTCTCTCTCTCTCTCTCTGTATATATATATTATTTTTTTTTTGTTTCACTGTTTCTTTAAAAGAAACATTCAAAGTGCCGTAGACACACACGTTATTCGAGAGCTTTAGTACTGCGTATTAGCCCCGAGAGCGAACACAAGCGTCGCTGCGGTCGCCGCGCCCTGATTGGGTAAGTGCACCGGGACGTCAGGGGAAGGACTCCGCTCCGCGATCTCGCACCCGGCTCGCTTCCCTGCCCCGGTTTCCTGGTTTGGCCGTTCTGTGCCACAAGCACTTTGAGGAGCGGGGCCTCGTTTACCCGGTGTACAAGACGCTGGGTTAGGCGGATACCGACGTGCTTCCGTACCTTTTATGAGACTGCTTGTTCCTTTTACCTTTATAACTGGATAACAAATCTTGAAAGATATCGGCGGAGGCAATTCCGCCGGTGAACCTCCCTGTCGGTTCACACGACACAAGGCAATCCGAGGGGTCGGTGAAGCGGCGGCGTAAGTGTTTCAGACGCTGGAATTCTGCTTCTGGCATGTTCATAATTTAGTAGAATATTACATCCCGCTCTGCAGGCATTTGAAATGGCATTTATATCAAAGGCCTTCGGGCGGTCGGCAAATTAGCTCGCGACCCCGACTCTGCGCGTGCCATATCAAAGGCGTTATCAAAGGCACATTACCGGAAGTTACTTTGTATAGGAGCAGAAAAAACGGCCGAATTGCCGTCAGTTGCCTGTATGAGATGTACTGAACTGCCCAAAATATGCGCAGCAACAGTACCATAATTGGGAATGTTTATACTTTTTCTTGACATTCTTTCTTTATTCCTGCCTTGGGAATTCGGAAAATACGCCGTTTATTTTGAATTGCCATTTAGAATTAAAGGAGACACTGCTGCGGGTCCCCAAAAGCTTCATCAGCCTCGAAACTCTCTACAGGTGGACTATCTGACAGTAGATGAAAAGAGGAGGAACAGCAAGCATTCAAACGGCTGTCCAGTGGTAGATGTTGCACTAGTAGTAGAAAATGTGGAACCTCTGAAGGGTTACAGTTTGCGTGAGAAAAGCTACAGGTATTTTAGCTTCAGAACAATTTTATTTAGCTAAAATCTGAATTTTAGAGCCTAGTGAACTAATCACGGGCTATACAGATTGGCTTACGTTTGTTGTACATAACTTGAGGGATGATATGAACAAGTCCACAGATACCACCAGTGGAGTTCATTGAAGTACTATCCGAATCCAGCAAAGGTCAAATGGCGAGCAATGTATATAAATAAACGTTCCTTTACTCTTTACTTCGCCCCTGCACTTGGACTGTCTCACTTATGATTCTCGCTCCATTGCCCAGACTATTGAACATGTTGCTCAAGCGGCATGCAGCTTTTCTGCTTTGGCGTTTTTGTTTAAAAGCAGAGCTAGAAAAAAATTGAAATCGTATGCATAACCTGCCAATTCATCAAGATCATCAGCAGATAACTCTGTGTGATTTAAATAAATAATGATGCTCCTTCAATTGTGGCAATATTTCTTTATTTTCATATACCAGCTGCGATTCATGCGTTGCCTGCCCTGTGAACCATGCCTGAAATGTTGGTTAAAGTTTTGCCTGCAGCTACAGGTCATACCTCAATAAAGCCACATATGAAAATTTACACTTCCTACGGAAAGGGCGAACGAGCAAGTCAGGGAAAAATTCTTCCCTCGATGCGACGTCACCCCGATTCGCCGTAAGGGGGCGCCAGGCGAACTTCTACGGGCTAATAGCAAACGCAAGCACTGCGTGTTTGTGTTAGTGATGCGTGCTCCACACTGCGCATGCGCTTAGTTGCAAAACGTAGCGCCAATCCAAGACGAAGTTTGGGCTGCCGTGAATGCGCATTGTGGAACACGTAACATTGACGCAAACGCAAAAAGTTTCAAACTTTTAGAACGCAGTTCTAAAACTCTACTTCCAAGTTACCTATTATGAGAAAATATAGCGGTGAATTTATTCCTCCGGTGCGCTCGAAATGTCTCTTAAACAATGCAGAACCCAGCTTATAAGTTGGAATGTTCGTTATTATGACGGAGAACTATAATTAGAGAAAACTAAAGAAAACCACTCACGTTATTGGGGGTGCATTGTGCAATGGCTTCTTTGACTTGCCTTGGAGCACTGTTAGAAACCTAAAATGATAGCTTTCAGGAATTACAATTCGGCCAGAACCAGCTATGTCGCTGTCTAATCAAGCGATCAGCTGCAGGAATAAATAACAGGGCTACGCGTCAGGTCCCGTGTCAAATTTTCCCGCTAAATTTAGCGGGGTAATTGAATTGGTGTTGAGGTTACGTGATATCAAACCATGCGACATAATTTTTTCCCGCTAAAGTTAAAAAGGAAACTAAAATGGTGCGGAAATCATCTAACGTCGATTATCCCGCTTAATCTACCGGGGAAACTGACTTTGTCTATGAATCACGAGACACTATGTGACGTGATTTTCTCCGCTAAATTTAATGAGAAAATTCAATTTGTGCATATGTAACGTGAAAGGAAGTAATATTGCATAATTTTCTTCGTAAATTTAGCGCGAAACCTGAATTGTTGACTTCACATGACGTCAATTTTCCCGCCCAATAAAGTGGGAACACAGAATTTTTCTATAAGTTACGTGACGCCGTGTAACATGACGTATATCTATCCGCGAAATTTAGCAGAAAAACTTAATTTGTGTCTAGGTCACGTGGCATAAAGTCTTGACGTCATTTTCACACGAAAGTTAGCTAGAAAACTGAATTGGTGTTGAAATAACGTGACGTAAATTTTCCCGCAAAATATAGAGCGTTTTATCATGGGTAGCGCCATAATTAAAGTTAGAGAGAAGGGGGGAAAAGGCTACCGGCGCCTTTCTTCTTGCTGGTCCGTTAGAAAGAATGAAAGCCCCGGATGGAGAGGCTTCGGCGGTGATGGGTGTAGGCATTGCCCGAACCTCGTTCACGCTTTCTTCTCTGCTTTTAACACCCAGACTTAATTTGAGCCACGGGCTTCTTTCTATAGCGACAGTCCCCCGGTCGTCGTCACACCATTGCTCGGTTATAGGGTACACGAATACAGACAGAACGCGTCTAATACTGCCCGAGAAACTATGTAGCTTTTACGGAATCTGGCAAGTGCGGCTGCAATGCCTTAACCTTTATTGCTTTCCGCATGACTCCAATCCCCGGAAGCAGTGGGTTGCGTCCGTAAACCCTAACAGACCTTTCCCCAACACCATCCTCTCGACTGTGCTCGAAACATTTTGAGAATGGAGCGCGCACCAAACTTAACGCTGTACCGTCGATGAGAATGGGGTACGCACGCAAGGTGCGTGCAAGTTCTCTCCTGATAATTGCTGTTTCAGCTTGTAACTTTTTGTGACTAAATTTATCTTAATGTTGATATTTTGAAGTGATGAAACTGACTGGATTATATCATCTAGAACACTTAGTTGAGGGCCCATTTCCGCCGCCAGGTGTTGCTGGAAATTGTCGAAAATTTAGTTCTATCGGTTTTCCTGAATTGGGAGCTCCTGCGCGATACCAGAGCGACGTGAGTCTATGTTTACCGTCACAACGCGACTAGAATCTTATTTTCGCAATTAGCACATAATGTAGCTGCAAAGAAACCATTTATTTCTGTTCCTGAAATTTTAAACTTGGTCATTCATCGATTTTCAATTGTTGAATCATTGATCGACTCGCTCCGGCGATAGGCCCATCTCGACTTTGCTCTTTTCAGTTCTCGACAAAAGGCACACTCGTGGACACGGGATCCTCAAATAAAACGTTTATCTACATCTTCAAGACGCCGTGCCAGGCGACGAAGGCAGTTATCCCGGCCTCGGCATTCGGGCCCGTTTAAATTGTTTTAGCGTCGACATTTTAATGCCCGGAAACGATCCCCAGACAAGTGTCTGCGGAAAGGGCTCCCGCGTTTGTTGTAATGAACAATCCACGTGCTCCGAATCATGCTTAGCCCTTCGGTTGGTTGTTCGTGCTGCCGAAGCCGCTGTCGTCATAGCAACAACCCGCTCTCGCGGGGATTGGGATCTTGCGGGACACAGTAAGTTCTGGTTTTCCCGCACGAGAATGTCGGTTTCCTCGTGAATACCGATTTCTCCACTCCTTACGATGTGCGTAACTTGCGAACTTGTTCGCTAAGTTGTCGTAGCTTACGAAGCTCTTCGTGAATCAGGCCTCTGTTGTCCTGCATGATGCCTATGGGGGTCGCTAAGGTACATGCGCGTGACGTGGAAGCGTACCGTATGGTTGCAGCCGTATGCATGTATGTCGGAGATTACAGAATGAAAATTTCCCGCCTAAACGCAAAATCGCGCGCCCCCGGGAGGTACTGCCGTCTGTGACGTTCTTGAGTAACGATGTTTTTTTATTTGTACCGCATTTTTCTTTGTTGGGACTTTCAGAGTACTGAAATTAAGGGTGGTTCCCACTTAGTTCACACATCTGCGTTGGTTGCATTCGCATGAAACCGAAACGACCGTAACGACAAAGTCCCCTGGACAAGTGTTTGCCATACACAGCCTGGCAAGCGATACAAGGGGTAGCTTGGCGAAGCAATCTATAAGTCACGCTTGTTAGAGTGTTTTGGTCATTACTGTCGTTTTGGTTGCACGTCAACGCAGCCGTTGCATGCGTGAATTAGCCTTTTAGACGCACCGTGCACGTGATATATTCTATGTGCCTGATTCGCTCGTTGGCAGCCCTAAAGGTAGTGGCAGTCGGAACGCCGGCTCTTCTGATTCAGACATCAAACGCTTTTCCAAAAAAAACAACAAAAACATTCAGAGGATGAAACCTCATCATCTCGTGAAAAAGATCCGCAAAGTACATCTGGTCTGAAACGGCCGGAATTTAATGGAAGTGTACGAGCGGACGTACCCAAATGAAACCGAATTGAAAAAAGGCGACATTTCTCCCTCAATATTAGAGCGCAGCTCTTAGACGCCCGTTTCCGCGTTGATCGGCGTCTCCGTCACCGTCGGCGTAACCGCGCGCGTTGGATCATGGGATGTCCCAGTTTCCCGCTAAATTGAAAACTGAATTGGTGTTAAGGTCGTGTTATGATGGTTCTACCGCTAACTTTAGCGGGAAAACTGAACGCGCAGAGTTGCATTATGGGACGTCACAGACCTAAACACCACTTCAGTTTGCCCGCTAAATATACAGGGGAACTGAATTGGTGTTGAGGTCATGTGACGTCAACTTTACCACTAAATCTTGGGGACAAACTGAATTTGTGCATACGTGGCGGTAAACGAAGTCATGTGACGTCCTTTTCCCCGCTCAGTTTAGCGGGGCCATTGAATTAGTGTTAAGGTAACGTGGCGCCAATTTTCCTGCTAAATTTAGTGGGGATTCTGTTACAGGAGGCGAGGGTCCGGAGGAAAAGCGGAGGGTACGCAGGCGGAGGAGTGGAGGGCACAAAGTAGGAGGAGGAGTGGAGGGAAAGGAGGAGGTGGAGGTGAGAGTACGGAAGAGGAGGAGTGGAGGGAAAGGAGGAGGTGGAGGTGAGAGTACGGAAGAGGAGGAGGGGAGGATATGGAGGAGGAGGGTACGAAGGAAAAAGAGGACACGAAAGAGCAGGGTGCAGAACCAGCATGTGAGGAAACCGATCTATATTTGTGTATATATGTTTTTTTCTCGAAATGTTTAGCACGTTATATCGCAGAACCAAAATATCTCAAGAGCTGCGCTCTAATTTCGCATAACAGACATTTGTTAACGTGTTTAATTTTTCTAATATAATTTACTTGAATCAGGAAAGCCTGCAAGCACTCTAAGTGCTGCCGTTAAATAGCTCTTCTTTTTTTAAGATTGTATCTTGACTTGTCTTTTTTTGTACCATACGTTAAATTAAAAAAAAACAAAAAAAACTCCAACTACTGTGGCACATCTTTTGAAGAAACAACGAGCAAAAACATTCGACCGTAAAAAAGTAACCTAATAATAAAGATTCAACTAAGCTATTACAAAAAATACCTGAAAAAAGCTAATGCATCATACATCGTAAGAACCGCCTTTTTTTGCTGGCTCTTGCCAAAGCACGTGTAATGCGCAAAGATTGATCATTCTTGCAGCTCTGCAGACGTCCGCCGAGCACGGCTCTTTCGGTCTGCCTTAGCGTCGCGCAGTTTTCCCGTCTATTATTCATCTATTGATTTAACGTACAAGTGCACCAATTCATGTTTTCTGTCTGAAGTTTAGATTTAGCGAGAGAACTGAATTCGGGAATGATTATACACTAAATTAGGTTTTCCCACTAAATTTAGCTATCGAGCCGCCGTTGTCGGACACACGATTTCTCCCTTTGGTATTTGTAGAAATTCTATTGCATTGAAAAAGTGTGTAAGCGCACTTTTGAGAACAAGAAGAGAGCCATTCATGGTGAAATATAGGAAGTATTCGCTGGCGGCCATAGCTGTGTGCGCGACTGCTGAGCGTGTGCTGATGGCGAGCTTCCAGAGTTCGCTTGTAAATTGCATTCCGCACCCTCAAGATTGCCGGTCTTAGCAGCCTATTAGTGTGGGCTCGTTCTTAGCATCCGCTCTAGACAGCACCCACAAATATGGCGCCCAGTGAATAAATACACCTTATAGAAGTATCGTAGCAAATAAAAAGGCTCAGAGTACGGTTATTACTAGAATGCCCTATGCACTGGAACAGTGAAAAAGTAAAACAACGTTTTGGTTGTTCCCGCACATATCGCCTTTCTTGGTCTATAGCACTATTTTCAAATTCATCATTTGCTGGGATCCTTATTTTGTTCGCCGTGATTACCTTTCTTCGTTTGCTTGTTTTTTTTTGGCGAGAAAACGCACTCAGACTTTATTTAGATAGTACTATGTTTTAAAGAATATTTGTTCGGTTTTCTAGTCTACATTTTATTTACTATTTTTTTAAGGTTGATATGCACTTCATAAATATTGCCATTCATACCCAGAATTATACTGGAAAGAATAATTTGAGCATTTAGATAATAAGGAAATATTTTCCTTTTACCTTTTCGTATTCAAAACAGTCGAACTTTTTCAAAATTTCGTAGTTTTTATATTTGCACTCCTCCAGTTCACGCTGCGGCACGCAGTCGTTAGCCCTTGAGTCATCACTGTTTGTCAGCAAAACTATGATAAAACAGCCTGAAAATGAACGTATTCGTTAATTGGAGATTATTTCATCGCTCAAAAGTACCAATTTTAGGTGCCAGAACAAGTTTTCAAATGCCATTGGATTTAAACATGCAGATTTCATTACAAATATATTTGTGTTAACACCAGTCATTTTGTAACTCTTTTTCATTCTATATGTAGCAGTTTGATTAGTATATTATTGTCGAGATTACAAGAAATTTGGGAATGAACCTTCCTTGACACAAGATCAAGATATCATGGGAGTCATATTTTTGCCGAGACTTTCTCCCCTTAATTGAAAGCGCGAAGACAAAACAATGCGTGAAATTTAAGAAAGGCGAACAATAAGTTTCACTTTACGAATGCCCTGCATGAGAGACTCACGCCTCCAACTTTGAAAGATTACGAAGTTTAGGAAGGTAGACTTCGGCAAATTAATATCACTTACTAAACACTGTCCTTATTTTATGTTATTCATTCAAATTGCTAGGCATGTTGCAAGGCATGTTTTAACTCAAAAGTAACAAACAATTGCAAATTGTGAACAAAATCGTACCTTCGAGAAATTCAGTTGTGTTGCAACGCCACAGCGCGCCAGGTACAACGCTAGACAGACAAGCGTATAGGTTGAAAACAGTGTTTATTCCCTCAGTAGAACTAGTATATATAACGTGGAAGGAGAGGGAGGGAAGGGAAGAAAGGGATAAAGAAAAATTTACGACTGACTCGCCAAAACTTTAGTGCGTAAGGGACCGGGCAAGGGGAAAGCAGAAACACTCCGCGAGTTAAAAAAAAAAAAAAAAAAATTAGACAAAGATATTTTAGTGTGTTTACGTGTAGAGGCCCGTTCACACTGTGCCATTTCTTGCGTTAAGTTACGTTACTAACCCTTAAGACAACTTACGACCTCCCGTGACCACGGCAACCTGCGACGCAACGCGAGTAGTAACGTAACGCAAGGAGTTGGGCTTGGATCAACTTTTCTTCAGAAATACCGCTTACGTTCAACCAATCGGAACTCGCGGAAGCAACGCTCGTGGAAATGCGCGCTACGCTTGGGAGCCCGGCGGGCTCCCAAGCGTAGCTAGCAGGAGGACGGCTCGACGCGGACGCAATGCTTTTTATACGTGAATATGTTCTCGTTACGCGAATTCGCGCCTAATCGTGACACGGGCGCGCTGTGCACCTGATGTCTACGCGCGTTCCAGTGCGAATTCGGAAAGCGATGGAGGTGTCGTTCTATCACCATCAAAGTACTCGGGCCCCTCAGAATGACTGACACCTTCAGTAAATGTACCGCAGTAGGTTGGAGTTGCGCATCTCACGACATAATGCTACAGCGTATGCTGTAGCATTATGTCGGCATGCAGTCCTGGGCGTTCATCTTACCGAAAAACGAGTTCACATCGCTAAGTTGAAAGCATTCGGGAGGGACGACGACGAAGCGCTCGTTCTAACGGACGTGATTTTTCTAGCTCCGCCGACATATATTTATAACTCCGAGTTTAAAAGGCACTCGCGCCCCTGAAAAGGGCCCCATGGATCAAGGGCAACCCCCCGCCACCCTCCGACCGTCGATTTTGGATCCGGGAGGGACCAGTTTGGTGAATATGGAACCCGAGACTATGGACACCTCGCTAAACCTAACGTCTGGAATGCGAGGCACGCAAACTCAGGCTACTGCTACAGGGACAACCGCGACCACGGCGGGCCCATCGACGGAAGGCCTCCAAATTGTACTGGACCTGAACACCCTCGACAAATTGAACGAATTTGGAGTTGCGAAGGAAGATATCGGAAGGCTCTTCGTAAGCTTCTTGACCTACCTCGCTACCACACACCAAGGAAAAGGCGCGCAACCAACCGCAGCAGAAAAGGTGAGCTCATGCCTTGGACAAGAATATCCCACGATTGCTCAAGCAGCACAATTGACAAAGACCCCGCTAAAGAGCCAGAATGCTAAACCTAACGGGACAGAAGCCACCCTTTTGGCGGAAAATATCGAGGACAACTCCTGGACACTAGTCCAGAACAGGCGCCGCCGTAAACGCTCGCTGACGTCAATCGAAGAACCCGAGAAGAAAGCCGCTGCTGTGTCCATCGATGAGAGGCCAGAGAGTAAAACTACCAGGGCCATTGTCCTTAAGCCGGTATGTAAGGAGGCAGTAAATGGATTCAGAGCCAGGGACATCAGGCAGGCTGCGGAAACGGCAGGAATCGAAAGCCAAGAGGATTTCAAAATCCAGTATCAGACAAAGACCAACACGATTACGCTCACTACGCAAGAAGAATGCACGGCAGAAAAGCTGCTACGGCTTAAGGCAATAGAGAAAAACGGCAAGCAGTATACAGTTTGCCCCTACAGAGCAATGGAGAAGAACCAGATCCGCGGTGTCATATACCCCCCGGGAGACAACAGCGAAGAGACACCAGAGACGCTGCTCGCAGACATGAAATGCGACAAGGCAAGGATTATTGCTGCCCGACTTATGGGTAAAGGCACAAGTGCGGTGTTAGTTACCTTCGAAAGTAACACACTGCCCAAGAAGGTCGTCTTCTGCCAAGCAATCTTGAGCGTGAAAGAGTACCGCCCGCGCCCGATCGTGTGCTTTAGCTGCCACGAGCTCGGGCATAAGGCGGATGTCTGCCCTCGCAAGGAACGAAGGTGCGGTCAGTGCGGGAACGTGCACGACGAAGGAATGGACGAGTGCGACCGAGAACCAAAATGTCGTAACTGCGACGGCCCACATCCGGCCACCAGTAACGACTGTCCAAAAAGAAGAATTCCCGACAAAAAGAAGATGACACCCAAACCTCCGGCGCAAAATAAGGAGAGTTACGCTGCAGCTGCCAAGTCCATCACGGAGCGACCCAAGGCATCGGGGAAAAACGATCAAGACGAGCTTCCCACATGGATACCGGAATGGGCGAAATCTACCCAACGACAACAGCCGAGCCAGCAGGCATCAGACTTCGACGCCGAGAAAGAGATGAATAAACTCAAGAACGACGTACACATCGGCTTCAAGATGATCTTCGAGGCCATCGGAGAGATCAAGAAGGAGCTGGCGTTGCTGCGACATGGGAAGTAACTCCCATAGCAGTACAGGACAGGCCACCACGGAACAGACCCGCATTGTCCAATGGAATTGCTGCACATTTTCGACCAAAAGTGCAGAGCTGAGGTTGAGATTCGAGAGACAGCCGCCGCCGGATGTTCTCCTTCTTCAAGAAACACGAACCCCGAACCTAACGTTCCCCTGCTATAGTTTCTACACGAACCCGACCATAGTAACTACGCCAAGGCCGAGCGAAAGGAACCCAGAGACGAAGAAAGGCTGGGCAGCAGTAGCAGTCCTGCGGCACATACCACATGCTCAGCTCGATACGGCGTCACTTTGCACTGGCAACAGAGAAGTGGTAGCCGTAAGACTCAGTCACAAACGGAAGAGGATGACTTTAGCCTCCGTCTATATAAGACCAGGAACGGCAACGGAAGATGACAAGGAAGCAACGGCATGGATAGGCGAACTTGTCGGTCTAGCCGAAGGGGATCCGATTGTCATAGCCGGGGACTTCAACGCTCGACACAAAGATTGGGGGTACTCCAACAGCACGAGAAAAGGCCGTCAAATTAAACGCGCAATGAAAACTGCGGGCCTTACACTTCGCAACGAGCCGGGAACTAAGACAAGGATTGGAATGCACAGTAGGCAAAAGGACTCCACCCCGGACCTCTCCTGGGCCACTGCAAGCCTAGTGCTCGACTGGTCAACGTGGAGAGACAACCTTGACAGTGACCACTTTCCGGTAGAAATGAAAATCCATCACGGACAACGCAACAGAGGCAAAGAACAAAGACCAGTAGTCAAATGGGATCGTTTTAGGGAACTGCTTGAGACAGAAGACAGCCGAGACATCGAGGAGTGCATTCGGACGGCTCTGAGCGAAGCGAAGACGGAAGTTCTAGTAAAGCCTGGAGACCCAACACCGGACAATCACCTACTAAACCTCTGGGCCAGCCGTCTACAAGCACTGCAGCGGTACCGAAAGAACAGGACACTGCATCTAAAAATCAAGCTCAAACGAGCAGCAGCGAAAGCGAGGCAGTACTCTAAACAGCTCGGTCGCGAGAGGTGGAGGTCCCATTGCGGGTCCTTCAACGCACGAAACGGGCTGGGAAGAGCTTGGAGAACTTACAAGGGACTGAACGGAGCAAAGCGCAAGACAAGAAACGCTGCGCAGAACCTGGCCCTCAAGCTCAATATCAGCGAGTCAGAGATGGCGATCAGGGCTGGAGAATTGTTCTTTCCCCAAGAAGATGATAGCGCAAACCAGAGACCGGTTGCAATGAACATTCGCACGCCAGAAGAGGAAGGAATGGAAGACCCACTAAATATGGGAGAACTAATCGAGGCAATCTACACGGCGAGGACCGGTAGTGCTCCTGGCCCGGACGGGGTGACGTACCAAGCTCTCAGAAACCTACCGGAAGAATCGAAGCAGAAACTTCTCGACAAGTACAACACAGTATGGGAAGAGGGTATTCTACCGAGAGCCTGGAAACTCTCCTGGGTCACTCCAATACCCAAGCCCGGCAAACTGCTTGATCGCATTGAAAATATGAGACCTGTATCTCTAACATCTAATATCTGCAAGACGATGGAGAAAATCGTGCTCAGAAGGATACAGTGGTATTTGGAAAAACACGAACGCTTGGATCCCCGGCAAACGGGCTTTCGCGAAGCAATGGGGACACAAGATAGCCTGAGGTTGCTCTATGAAGAGGTGCTGGCTGAAAAAGACAAACAAGACCCACGGCTCGTGGTCGCCCTGGACATACGCAAGGCGTTTGATTCAGTGCCGCACTGGGCAGTCGTCCGGGAGGCAAAAGCATGCGGCATCCGTGGAAGAACTCTGAACTTTATACGAGACTTCATGCGCGACAGGAGGTTCCAGGTGAAGATCGGAGGGACCATGGGCCCAGAAACGCCGATTAAAAGAGGAGTGCCACAGGGGGCAGTTCTATCGCCGACCCTTTTCAATATGGTAATGGCGGGTCTCCCAGCTCGGCTTCGAGTCATCGAAGGGCTGGGATTCACCATCTATGCGGATGATGTGACGCTCTGGACCCGAGGGGGATCCCTGGGGGAACAAGAGAGCACGATGCAGCGGGGCATAGATGAAGTAGCCACCTACCTGGCAGAGGTGGGGATGGAAGCGTCATCAGAGAAAACGCAATATATGATGGTCGCTCGCCCTAGGGACCACAGGAAAGGAATAGCAGGCTCAGTACGGCTAGAACTCAATGGACAAGAAATCGGCAAAAAGCCACATATCAGAATCCTAGGAGTCACCTTCGAGCAGACGGCAAGAAGCACGAGATGGATCCCGGAGATAGAAAAGACGTGGGCTCAGGGTCTCAAGCTCATAAAGAAAACAACAAGTAAGTCCTGGGGAGCTGATGAAAAGGCTCTGCGTATCCTCACAGAGGCCCTTCTCACGTCACGAGCACTGTACAGTTGCAACTGGCTGAATCTCAACCAGACGCAATGGAAAAAACTCGAGAGACTTAACAACCAATCGAGGCGAGTAGTCACGAGCCTTCCCAAATACACGCCACTCGAAATGCTAGAAAAGGAAGCACAAATGAACAACATAAAAGACAGGGCCGAAACCCAAGCAATCGCTCAGTTTCAAAGGCTAGAGCGCACTAAACATGGACGTAGATTCCTGCAAGACCTAGGATACGAGACAAGCAACAAGCCGCCATTGGAAGAGGCGCTACCTCCGTGGCAGGACGAGGTGATAACGGATCATCGGCCTCTGCCTCAAGTTTTGAACCAAGGGAAGAGGGCTAGAGCCGCTAAGATGCACGCGGCATGGTGCGAAACACATGCGCCAAACGAAGAAGTGCGGTACACCGACGCCGCAAAGAACGGTGACAAAGTGACATCTGCCTGGCACGACGCAAGGAGAGGCAGGACACAAACCGAATTACTGCCGTCGGGCACGACGGTGAGGGAGGCCGAATTGAGGGCGATATTGGCGGCGGCCCAGGATATCGCAGGAAAAAGCGCGACGGCACCTCACGCCAGAATTTTTACAGACTCGCAAGCAGCGATTAACGCAACACGCAGCAGCAGACCAAAGGGCCGAACAATAAAAAAGATTAAGAAAGTGGCGACGGAGCTTCGCATACGTGGCACCGACCTGCACATCACATGGCTTCCCGGGCACAGCGAAATCCCCGGGAATGAGAGGGCACACAGGGCCGCAGCGGAAGAAATAGTTCACGGCTCCGCGACTGGCCCGACCTCTCATTCTGAAACGAATAACACGGTAGACCCGGAGGAACAGGCTGAACTTGCCAGGCAGGCGAGGAAGGCCTACCTCAGAGGGTTGCTGCCGTCACAAGAAGACAACATGCCAACGAGCTATACCAGATGGGAAGCTGTCCGAGTCCGACGGATCAGGACCGGAACAGCATTGACACCGGCCAAACAAGCGAGCTTCGGGCTCGTCGACATCGAGGGTTCCAGATGCAAGGCCTGCGCTGGGAACAACACCGCCACACTACGCCACCTCCTCTGGGACTGTGCAGGCCTGGAACGGCTGAGGAAGAAAGCGATCCAACCTCTTCGGGAAGAGGACAGACCGGCGACGCTCGAGGAGTGGTCCCGACCCCAGGGAACACCGCAGCACAGAAAAGCAGTCCTCGATTCCCTGATGAGCTACATCAGGGAGACGAGGACCCATCATCACATTTAATTTTTTTCTTTTTTTTCACATCATTCATTTCCTTTTTCCCCTAAAACCCCATGCCCCTCCTTCCTGTCTCAGGCCACCCCACCAAGACAGCCGAACCACTCATCTCATCAATAAACATAATTCAACAACAACAAAAGCATTCGAGTCATCTAGGCACGCGCGTGAAACGAAGTGTTTACAGCGGCGCAGCGTAACGCGCGTCTCACCCACGAGCGTAGCGGCGGACGCCATCTTGACGAGACGAAAACGCGCTCAAATCCGTTCAAACGGCGCGGAAGTGACGTCATGTCACGTGACATTTTGAAAACCAATGAAATGGCCGCTTTTGCGTAGCGCCGAAGGGGGCGTGGCCAGGCACTGTACGGGATATGGTTTGCTAATACGCGGCCCGGCGCTACTAGCTCTCCAAAATGGCGAGCGACCGAAAGGTCCCGTCGACGCTGTCGACAACGCACAATATGTCTATACAAAAAAAAAAAAAAAAAAAAAAAAAATTACACGTACACACCCCTGACAAGCAACTAGGGTTTTTATTTTTGTAAAAGCTTGGTCTGCTGGGCAAGTTGGTAGTGGACATTCATATTAAAAATAGCGCAAAAGAGACAGGACAAAAAGACGAAGAAGCACACAGGACAAACGCTAGCGTTTGTCCTGTGTGCTTCCTCGTCTTTTTGTCCGGTCTCTTTTGCGCTGTTTTTATTTCTTCTTTCTCTAATCATATTCTTCTTCTCTCTGCCAAACAAAATATTAGAGAAAGAATATACGGTAAGAATTTAAGTGGAAAATATGATGAAGAAGAAAAGTCCAAATAATAATAAGAAATACTACGCTGAAAATAAAATGAAACTGTCTTTTTATTTTAATTTTATATACTTATATATTTACAATAAAACAAAACCGTCTTACGGACGGCTGGGAACGGTGTGAACGCGCAGATCGTAAGCGGCCGTAACGTAAGTTGTCATAAGAGTTCGTAACTAAACGTAAGAAATGGCACAGTGTGAACGGGCCATAATAATGCGAAAGCATAAAGGCCTGTTCACACATGCAGCGGAACTCTACAAGCATAGCGCTAACCTTGCTGACGGTAGCGTTCACCGGACTTGTATCGCATTGTCAAAGTCGGGAGCAGCGCGCCACGTCTTCCTTCTGCACGTGTTGCTCCGGCGGTGACATCACGCTCCCCCACTGTGCAGGTGCGGCGTCCCAGCCGGCTTTAGTGACAAAGCATCTGGGTTGCTGCGCTTTTCATTGTGTTTTGTGTCTGAGGGGCGTCCGCTTTGACCTTGAGCGGCGCGCCGGCCTCAGGCAACACCCTCTATAGAAACGTATAAGGGCTTAGCTCTCTTCCCGTGACGTCACACGATAGGGCGGATTGGTAAAAGTGCGGAGCGCTGTTCAAGTGAGGCTGTCGCACCGATTTACCGCGCAGGCACTTTTGTTTCTTGCAAGAACGAGCATGCATGTGCTGTAAGAGAAATTTCACTGGACGAAAATTATAGGAGCGAAACGTTTATTTACACAATCCAGTTTCGTTTGTGTTTGCGCTTCATCAGGAGCAATACACTTATTTCTTCTGGAGAGTTGCGGCTTTTCGTTTTTTTTACTTGGCAGCAGCGTCGAGAAGCCTGTCGTTTAGCTTTCCACAGAAGTTCTTAGGTAAAACGTTCGTGCTGCATCGAAGGATGCCTTTCAGCACAGATTCACTCGTGTGGCCGTTCTCGCAGGCGTCGAAGTCAGATGGCTCTTCGTTGGCCAGCAAATGCAGCGTCAGCTTCGTGATGACCTGGCGCTATTCGGGCATTAGTAGCAGTTTTGGTTGCGTAGCGAGCTGCTCTACGACAACGTAGTGTGAGCAACAGCATTAAGCGCAAACATCGATGGGCACAGTAGACCTCCTCGGTCTAACTGCTTCAAGAGATCATAGTGTTCATGGGCGGCAGACACTGTGATTGTCTTATCCACAGTCAACGTGTCCTTGCATTTTGCGCAATTCAACTTTTTGAGGGTCACGTACGCGGCATATCCTGCAACGTAGACCAGGATCGGAAGGATGTCCTGTATCTTCGAAAGCGTCTCGCTGCTTAAAACTACGTCGCAGCTGGGATGCAATGCCTGTACCGGCTTCCGTACACATCCCCAATGCTGGTCAGTGGAAATAGTCGGCAAGGTGCTCTCCAGGCGCAGCTTGTTTTCGACTTCATAAATCTGTTTGATAGAAACATGATACTGCGCACCTGCCAGTTGTCTATACTTTCCAAACCGGTCCTCTAGGCAGTCTGTTTGTATCTTACCAAAAAGAACATAGGTCATTTTAAGCTCTTCGAAGCTGTACCTAGCGAGCTCCACAAGCGCATAGGTAGTGTGCTCGAGCGCAGCGTGACTCTCCTTTGTCAGAGTACCTTTGCCAAGGCCTTTGTTTTTCTACTCATCCAGCCATTTCAAAAGCAAGTGCAAGAAGTCAATTTTCGGATCGTTGTCCACGGAGAACACTGGTTGTTGGAACTGGTCTCTCAGCCTCTTTCCCTTCCACGGAGTTTTCACATTCACAATTTTCCACCATTTGAGTATGATGTCGATGAAAGTAGCAGTGGCCTCAAATGAGAACAGGTTGTGCTACGCTCCAAGAGCACGCAACGCCACAGGCAAGGAATCATTGAAGATTTGCAAGGCAAGCTTTTCACATTGTTTGCTGTGAAGGTCCCTGATTGTCGAAAATGACGCTGTTTGCATGCGCTCTAACTGCGCCGCATTTGTTTGCATCCCAGAGAAGTAGAAGCAAACTTGGTCATTGCTCTGGTTGATCCAGTTGTTTCGTATGCATTTTAGTATGTGTACCGGGTCTATAACGAAAAACAGCGGCCTTGCAGGGTCTGATGGGTGTTGATACACAATTCTGTTAGAAGCGGGCGATTCACAATGGGACATTGCTTTTCTGTTCACAGAGTTGTTGTCACTCACGACGCACACAACGCGGTACCCAATCTTTTCCAGCCCGAAAATCACATATTTCAGCATCTTGTGCAGGAACTCCGCGTCTAGTTTGTGCACTGGCACGATGTGCGCAACTTCTTTGAATCTGCACTTCAGGCTGCGCGCCATGAAAACGAGCGCACAGTTTGCAGCTTCATTTGAGTTAAGCGCAGTTCCGGTAATATTGCCCCCTTTGTATTCAAAGTAAGTTTGATGTGTATTTCGTCTACCATTACGGTGACGAACCGCTGGTCATCTTTGAGGTCAGAAATTCTTCTCGCCATGTAACTGAGGAATGCTTCGCTCTCATGCTCTTATTGAGGGCTCATGCCATAAGAGGAGCATACCGATCTGATCGTCATGGGATGCGGCAAAGTGACGCTTCCATGGCTGCGTATATAAGCGTACGGAGGGGGCGATATGGTGAAAAGAATGCAACAGAACACCATGAAATCTGCAGAGTAGCGTCTGCGCTGTTTTTTCGCTTGGAACAAGCTTACTTGCTTTCGCAGAAATCTAATGAAGTCGGCGTCGTCTTCTGCGTGGGACGTGGACAAGTGATCCAGCAGTAGGAACATAGCCTCGCAAATTTCCTCGACTGAGTTGGAAATCAGGTCCCCGTCCCACTTCTCGACGCCTTTGAAGAGTTCTACTATACCCTTCTTACTGTCAGCAATTTTTGGAACGACCAGATTTGCACCTAACTTTTTTACCGCCTTTTTCATGACATGTAGCGTCACGCTCATGTCTCCTTTTACGCAGACAGAGTACTTCAGCCACGGGGCCTTATCGTCGACGATGTGGATAATAACAAGCCTTCCGTCCTTTTCTATTATGTTCAAAAACTTCATCTCCTTACTCCGCAAGTGTCCCATTAGTTCTCCTAAAGAATGGACTTTGTCCTCTTCATGTGCCCTGTTAAACAACTCCTCGGACTCCGCGATAGCTTTTTGCATAGCAGCATGCTCCATGCGCGCCCGCTTGAAGTCGGGACCTTCTCTTCTTGTGGCTTCCCTAGACAAGTAGGTCGGGCAGCTAGGGAACTTTGACGGTACAGCATCAGGACGAAGACGGATATGGGATAAGGGCACTGTGATGGTGCGGCCAGTACTTTCATCGGCATGCGATGCTTCTCGGATAATGTGCACATGTCCGAAGTGAAGTTCGCATACCTTGTGGGAAAGTTGCCTTGCTGCCTGCCCAACCCGGCGGAACAACACGGAGCCAGGATTTCGGAAAACGTGAAGCTACATTTATTAGTAAATTGTAAACATGAAGTTAGTATTAACAAGGTCGTTGGTCGACACCGCCGCAGCGTGTACCTTTCGCTCCAGGCCCCGCTTCTCTCTCCTCTGGTCGGCGTCCCCGCTGCTGCTTTTATCCGTTTTTTCACAGGGGGTAGCGCCCCCCGCGCTCTTTACACACAGTGGCGCCCCTATAGCGTCCACACAATCCCCCCCTCAAAAGTCAGGCATGTCGATGACGTGCTCGTCCTGGTCGTTTGACCTCAGAAGTTGAGGACGTTGCCTTCGTACGACGTCGATGGCCCTCTGCAGCTCGTCGTGGTTCTGGAGCCTCGCAGCGCGGTCGGCAGCTTCCCGGGTCACGTGTAGGAGCCCCGCTCGGTGTGTTTCTCGGGCGAGCTCCGGGACTCCGCACAGCGGACAGAGGAGCCTCCGTTCCTCTGCGGTGTATTGCGCCGCTGGATCGTTGGGGTGGCGGTCCTGCAATGTCAGTCCCCTGAAAGGCTCGGGGACGATGACGTGCGCCTCCCCGCGTTCTGGGCGTGGTTGTTCTTCCCAAGCTTGCCGGGATGCCCAGCCGACCGGTCCACCGTCGGTCTGCACCATCCATGTTGTCACGGTGGCTTGTGGCCGTCGCCGGCAGCGGCGGCAGAGGATGTGGAAGTCCGCGTTGCCCTGATCTCGTCGTGATGACCCCGGCCCCTGTCCTTGTGGCCTGGGTGACCGTGGTCGCCACCTCGAATGGGTCCCCCGGCCCTGGTGGCCGTGGTGGCTGATATGGCTGCGACGGCCGCGTTGATGAGATCGCCACCCTCTCTCCATCTTCATAAAAATAAGAAACAGCCCGATGTGCGCAACATTAGGCGTGCCGCGCGTGGCCCCTGAAAATAAAAGTCAATAAGTGCTCTCAGGTGGGACATACTACCCCCCCCCCCCCCTCTCAGAAGGAGAACATATTGATGGGGTATGAACCGGAGAGCGTTCAAAATTTTAAGGGTGAAGAACAAATGTTTTTGTTATTCGCTTCGTGATCTCCCTGTTAGCTGTCACCGACGTCGCAGATTGTACCGCCGGGGTGGCGGGGAGGGGGAATCAGGGACCCGACTGCTGCTGCCATCTGCTGGATCCTGCGAGAAATCTTCTTGGCTGTGGAATAGTTTTAGGTCGGTGACATGAATTGGTCCTGTGGACTGACCACTGGAGCAGCAAATAAGTGTGTATGTGAGCGGGGAGAGCTTTTTGCCAACACGGAATGGACCCTCCCACCTGTTTGCCAGTGAGGCCGTGAATCCCCTTGTTGCATCACTCAGGGGATGAGTGCGCCTGAGCACGAGGTCTCCCACCTCAAACTGCAGGTTTCGGCGTCCCTGGTTGTACTGCTCGGACTGCTGCAGTCTGGCGACGTCGAGGCTCTCCCGAGCTTCTCTGAGGTTGTCCGAGAAGCGCTTGCGGAGGTCGTCTGCAAACTTCGAGTAGCTGCGGCATTGCGACGTGGGTTCTGTTGAGCGAAGAGCGTTCGAAAGCGGGAAGGCAAGTTCTTTGCCAAAATTTAGCTGGGCAGGGCTGAGACTGGTCGACCGGTTAACCGTGGTGTGAGTGGGGAAGGCCATTTCTGGGAGCTTCGCGTCCCAGTCCTTGTGGCGATCGGTATGCGCAACAAGCGGGGCGCCATGTGGGAAAGTTGCCTTGCTGCCTGCCCAACCCGGCGGAACAACACGGAGCCAGGATTTCGGAAAACGTGAAGCTACATTTATTAGTAAATTGTAAACATGAAGTTAGTATTAACAAGGTCGTTGGTCGACACCGCCGCAGCGTGTACCTTTCGCTCCAGGCCCCGCTTCTCTCTCCTCTGGTCGGCGTCCCCGCTGCTGCTTTTATCCGTTCTTTCACAGGGGGTAGCGCCCCCCGCGCTCTTTACACACAGTGGCGCCCCTATAGCGTCCACAACCTATAAAGGAATTTTGCGTGCAGTGAACAAACCAATGGGTATTTGACATAATGTGCGGATTGCGAGCCACATTTATACGAATTTATACATATATTGAATTTTCTTTTGCAGTGAAACCATTATTCTCTACCAAAAAGAAAGCTTACCCTTGAATTCTCGGTGACGGAGAGGTCTTCCCGTGGCACAGCGCGTTTCCCTGCGTCCCTCAGTGTTTCACCCTTTGGGAACTTGAACACGTGCACTTTGGTGTCCACGGTGCAATTTCCGCGGTATTGCGGCACACAGCACTTGCACGGCATCTCACCGTCGCTCTTTTCACATTTCTCAAGCTTGCGGAGATACGAAAAAACTCACAGTGACACGCAAAACACGAGAAATTCGACAGAACAGATATGCACGTCGAAAAAGACACTCGGAAGCAGGCCGATTCTGCGGGGGACTGGTAGAGCTCACTGTTCAGCCGCACCTGCAATGGTGCGACATGCCTGGACAGGTCCGGACCCGACAAGCCGCCTCTTGCAGCCGCCCCGTTAGCTGACGTAGTACGAGTGGAAAGAGGGCAGAACCGAGGCTTTCTCCCTTTCCAGTTGGTGTTGCCTCAGGGCTTCCCTGACGAAGCATCTGCGTTGCTCTGTTTTTCTTTTTTTGTCTTGTTTTAAAGGCGCGACCGCTTTGACCTTGAGAAACGCGTGCTTGACGTATTATTTGTTTTTATATCCGGGCACAACGCAAGCGCCTTTTGCATAATGGGACAAGCAAGGCTTCCGCCTTAAAAACAGTTAAAGTACACTTCTTCTTAAAAATGGAAACGCTGGATCGGTTTGCGTGACCTCGTTGCACAGTAACGGTTGTCCTTAGACGTAATAAGGTTTTGCCGCCGACGAATGTGGTGGCGCATTGTTCTTGACTTCCGGAGACGGTTGAGTAGGCCTTTCTCCTACGAGGTCTGCAGCAGGCTGGGGCGGTGCTTGTTCCGGCTGAGCTGCAAAACTCGGTGTGCCAGTCGATGGCTTACAAACAACAACGTACGGTGGCTTCCTTGCTTTTGGCCGTGACGAGAGCGCAGTTGGTCGGTGTGGCGTCAAACCATAGCCGTACGAGTTTTCACGGACACCATTAGAGCCCCTGACGTATCCTTTACGCGCCCGGGCGTCCATTTATTACCGGCACTGTAATTGCGCACGTACGCGCTCGCGCTGGTCCCGGGCAGCACCGTCCAGTCGTCACGTCCGCCTCGTGGCTCAGCAACCGTAGAAATAAACTATGAATCCAAACGAGATCTTAGAGAGTTTTAGTAGATCGTTCCGATACCTCCGATAGCCCCAATAGCGATATTATGCATGCGCAAGGTAGGCGGTGGCGGAGTATCGGGTATCGTTATCGGAGTCATGGGAACGATCTACTAAAACTCTCTCTTATCTGGAACGCTAGCATAATCTTTGGTGGTTATCTTCCGGTGCTCGGCGGCGTCCGTTGGTAGTTAAAGAATAACCGCATTAGATTATCTTTCCTTTTGCCTTCTTTCATTTTCCGCAGGCCAACCTTTACTGTTGAACTGCCTTTGCGCTGCTTCGTTGGACAGAGGATGGTACGGAGTTGTAGGAGGTGCGTAATGTTGATCTTTTTCATAAATGCAGCAAACTCTTCACTTATGAACTGCGTTTCATTATCTGTAACTACTGTGCGCGGTACGCCAAACCGGTTGAATTGTGCTCGTTGTATTGACATGTTTAATGGGCACGACTTCGATCCATTTAGTTTTGGAATCTACGACAGTGAGTACCATCTTACCTCCTAACGGTCTAACAAAATCTATGTAAACGAAACCACGCCTTTTCGGTTTTCGGCCTGCTGGACCATTTCGGTAAACCAGTTTGCCCGTGCCGTTGGCATGGACAAACTGGTTATGCAGTTTTTGCAGTGATATGATAGCTCTTCAATATCATGATATAGCTCGGGCCTCCAAGACATCGACCGCGCAATCGATTCCACCAACGAAGAACCTTGGTGCGTTTCATGCAGAAGTTGCAGCATTTTCTATTGGGCTTGGTCCGGTATGACACTCGAGTACCCCAATACACCAACTAGTGCGCCACCATCAACTCAAGCTTGCGATCATGAAAAGGCAGCAAGGACAGCGCCAGCAACTTCCTGCTTCTGGGCCAGCAATGAAATAGGAAATGTTTGACGCAAGCTAGTACGGAGTTAGTGGTTGTAAGATCTTTCAGTTCCTGCGTTGTCACCACACCCATGCTTTCCAAAGCAAACACATTCTGGGGGTTCACCATCGGTAGTCAGGTGTTTCGACTGGAGTGAAAGTCTGCTGAGTGAATTGGAGCTCAATAGCTGTGTCCCTGCAACTACAGCTTGTATGTAGCGGTAGTCACGCAAGTATAGCGCCCAGCATTGGATGCGAGCGGCCGCCATTAGTGTCGTCTGGTGGTCCGCTCGGAGCAGGGCGAGGTGGGGCTGATGGTCGGTAACCAAGGTAATATCACGACCTAGAAGGTTGTCACAAAATTCAATAACTATTTTTGTACTTCAATGGTTATGGTGTTGTCCGTTCCCGTGTTTGTGAGTGGGGTGCGCGAGCGCCGAGAGCAGGAGCGCGTGCTTAGTATTTTTGTTTTCGTGCGAGATCGGAGGAAGAGAAAAAAAAAAGACGGGATCCCGCGCGCGCGAGGGCTGTGGAACACAAATCGCGGAGCAAGGCTGCGACGGTGTGGATAATCGGCGCTGAGCAGGTCCGCGGCGGTATGGTTGTTCGAGCACCGAGAAGGTATTC